CAGAGAATCCCCTCTGAGAGTCGACGGTGCATCTGAACCTGATCTTCACACACTGAGGGAAAGCTACTGATGCATTGCAGATAAACTGCAGATCCTATAGTCTAACCCCTCCCTTTCTCTTCTTACACACTCGCATATTCTTGTTTCTCTTTTTTGGCCTGCCCATATTCATGACATCACCACAGCCTCCCACTTTATCCATTAACATCACCCCATGCACGTCATATCCCGCCTACTGGGTGCCTCTCCATCTGACCCTGTTCTCCTTACACCTCTCACCTATTCTTATCTGGCGCCAAAAAAGCTTTGCCAATTGGGAAACAGGATCTATGTATTTTTTGTTGATGATTTACGCAAAGCTCCCTCGATAAAAGTGTCACGCTGTCATATTAATTATATAATTGAATTGATGAGTGATATTTAGTCATAGTGGGGTGATCATGTTGTGCATTTACACGTTGTTAATCTGCAAAAGTAAGAAACTAAACTCGTTTTTAGGGGAGTTAAAAAATATATAGATTTCTGAAAAACTGTGGAGTAAAATATTAATTTTGAAAAAGTACAAGTATTGTACCTAAGCATTGCAATTAGTGAGTATATATACATTTCTTTAATTACCCAAAAATCCTGAGGAAAGATTAAATTGATTCTGTCGATGTAATTCACTGCCCTGACTATTTACTTCTGTATAAAACAACTCTTCTAAAACTAGTGCCCTGTTGTTTTACGCAATTACTTTCCCATTGATGGTTTCAGTACTTTCACTGCATATAAAATAGCACCAAACTCCATTGCATGTTTTCATTGTGTTAAAAGTCTGCGTACCATTATACACTATTGCCACACAAAGAAGTAATCTTTAGTTTCTGCAAGGCAGTGTCATGGGTTTAACTAAATACATTCCTCTGAACGTAAAAAGACAACCCGCACATAGATTTCCTCAGCCAACCTGTCCATGAGCAGAGCAGTGAAGACCTCAGGGGAAAAAAATGTTCATCAATACCCAACAACCCTTAAGGGAGCTGAACATGCAAACATGTAACATGAGGCGCACACACGTTCATAATGACGCAACTGGGAAACAGTATTTTATGTAGTAAATCCTTTCAAACACGTCTCATCAGCACAGGTTTACAAAGTTAGTATCAATGTAATTGAATTGATGCTCCTTATATGAGTAACTAGTAGCACACAGTGCCTTGGGTGTATTGGTGCGTCAGGGCATTGTAATCACCTTGGTGCCTTACTTTTTTATGTACTGCATCCCGTCAAGGGCGTCTCCATGACAACTGCTTATGATTAACTGAGGGTATGTGATGTCATGTGCAGAGGACGGATGCTAAGGGTTGTAAGGGGGGGTGAGCAATAATGTTGTTACAGTGACAAACGAACGTTGAGCCAGACAGAGATGCACGGAGACACGAAGCAGAGGCAAGAAGGAGACAGAGGGACAAAGGAAGTCAGAGGACAGCTCATCACAGAATGGGACAAAAAAGATACACACATAGTAGAAAGAAAGAAATGAAAAAAAAAATGAGTAAACAACCATGAGTGAAAAGCAATCAGGGGGAAAAGGGGGATGCTGAAAAAGAAGAGAAGATCAGCCGTGTTGAAGAGAAAGACAACCCAACAGATAGCTACAGATAAAGAGGGCAACGTAGACACTGTTGAAACCGGTGTCCCGAGCACATTAGTACTTATGGCTGCAAATGTGTCAAGTCATTCAGTCTAGCCACCAGCATTCGCCCCCAAACTGCCCTTTACATCTTACTGAAGCTGTGCTGTCACACACACACACACACACACACACACACACACACACACACACACACACACACACACACACAGAGAAGGGTCTTTAAAGAGAGCTAACAGATAATGTACAGCTAGCTAAAGTGAGGAAACATGTTAGTAAATACTGCATGTCTTTTATTCATATAACCACACAAACATAAAACTGTGCACACACATAAAGAAGTTGAGGATCAATGTGGTGTAGCCCACTTGCTCAAGGTGTAGCCCAAAGTTCAAGTGACAAGGCAAGCATGGGAAAGTCTTCACGGTCCGTAAACTTTGTCTCAGTAGTACTCAGACTGTGGTCGTTCAGGTTCATGCATTTTTCGTTCACTTCAATGATCTGTAAAAAGAAAAAAAGGGAAAAGAAAAAATTCAAAGAAAAGCTGCTGTCATTTCATAAGTGGACATTTTTCAGCCAGTCGCTGTCTGTGGTGCTGAAACGAAGGAACTAATTCAGCAAGGACTGTCGTGTCACGTCTATTTAAATCAGACACCCACCTGCCTGCGGCCCACATGGCGACAAGGCCCCTTTGCACAAAGTAAGGTTCATTAGGAAATGGTTTTCCCTCATCCAACCCTTTTGAGATGAACCGGAACAATCCTTAAGTCTGCATAACACGGTACTTTATTGCAAATACAAGTTCTGTGTTCCAAACTTTATATAAGCAAATATATGCTTGGTAAGAAGAAACATCAATGAGTAAGTTTACTGACTTTACTTTGCGTTTATATATATATATATATATATATATATATATATATATATTTAATATATATATATATATATATATATATATATATATAGAATAACCATTATGTTGTTATCACTTGCACTGCCACAAGGTAAGGCTCACTTTGAACAGGAGGAAATGCTATTTAGTGCCATAGCTGCCGCTAAGGACTCAGAGGTAATTTACTCCATACTTGCTGTCTGGGAGCTAAGTATGCCTGTCATTTTCAACCCGAATTTGCCAAAAATGTAATATTACTGCCACTTAAATGTCACCACTCAGCTCAAAGAATGTCACTCCATGTATTCTATGTATCAGAATATGCACCAACATGTCCCTGTCCCATGTCACCTAAATACCCCCCTTCCTTCATCCCAAGGGGATGTACTCTCGGCGGACTGGTCTCTGAAGGCTTGCAGCTGGGACAGACTGCGGCGGACCGAGATGGGCTTGTCTGCTCTTGCTGTAGTCTGATTCTGCTGCAGTGCCATTTGAAAACACTCCAGCCCTTCTGCAGTGCGGTGGAGCGCAGCACTGATATTGGATGACTCCCCTGTTTTTGCTCAACCCACACACCCCTCACGCCCCTGTGTACATCATACCACCATCACCGCCGTCCCTCGAAGGGCATCCAAAAGCACCGCAAAATACTTAACGAATGGCCTGGCAGTTAAAATATATGCGTACAAGAACCCTGCAAAAATCAGGAGGGCCTGCAGAGAGAAACCCACTGAGCAGTGATAAAGGACACTGTCGCGTCAGCACGCCAGGAGATTGTGGGTGGGGCTACTGGTGTATAAGCATTTACGATACACAAGGAAGAGAGAGTAATTGTGACCGCCTCTCACTTCCCTCCCTGTCTAGCTCTCATTCTATTTTTCTCTCTCTCCGCCTTTCTGTGTCGGTTCAAATCTAAAATTGGCCATGCTTGATGCATTAGTTCTGCTTAACTCAATCTTGCAGTGAAAAGGCTATGGATGGGACAAGAAAATTAGAAGATTGATGGCCAATGTCTGATCAGTGCTGAAAAGCATAAAAGGATCGATTCAAACGCTACTTCCATAATAAGCAGCATTTTAAAAAGGTACCATAGTTTTCTTCCGTGGGTATTTAAATTACATGAAGTGGACGAATTATGTGAAAAATCACTAGAATGTCAATGACGGTTTGCGAAACGTATACTGCACCTGTGGAGGAGGGATTATGTTAAACCCATGGACACTCAGAAACCACTAATGCAGCTGTTTTTTGCTGCATCCCTTCACCAATTAGTAATCTTTTATTCACAGTGACCGCTGTGACCCGAGATAAGAGTGAAGGGTCCAGATGGACAGGAGATCAATAGCCTGTTGGGCAGACCAACTGACGCTGTGCAGTTCAGAGGGGCAATGGCTCAGCAAATGGATGGAATGTTGCACATGGCCTTTTTCCACCTCTGATAGTTAAGACCCCACAGATGGCTGGAGGAAAAGTGCGGGTAACAAATGCAAAAACACTACACAGTAAAGCTGAGGGAATGTAAGCAAAGGTGATGTGTTCCCCCGTACAAAAAAAAACACCTAGAACACATCCCAGTACAACATTGTCCTGCATAAAAAGAAAATCCAATTCCATTCAAAGTTTCGATTATTTTTTTCATTTTCTCGTTTCACTCAGGGTCAACCAGAATAACACAATTCCAATTAGTTTTAGACATTAGCAGTCTAATATATGAATCAATAAATTAATCTTAATTGGTTGAATTGTATAATAATAAGAATAATTATATTGGACACATTCAACATGAACGTTTTAAATTATCTGTATATTACCAGTCAGCGATTGGAATAATAACCTCCCTGTCAGCTTCGGGTTAAATGCTGAATCACAAATGAGGAAACATTAATAAGAATCTCTGCAATTCATATTATGCAAAACCTTGCCCCCACAATCCTGGTTGTGAGAAGAAGAGGTGTCAAGTCTTCCCAGTCCTTAAACTTAATACGAAACAAGTTATTATGCAGTTCTTCGAGTTAATGTCATCATAGTTCACTTCATCGATCTGTAAGAAAATACTGCTTTCATTTTATCGGGGAAGTGTTTCAGCCGAGGAAAACAGCCGACTGACGTTTTGTTGATCGCTGTCCGTGGTGCTGAATCGAGGATCGTTCATGAATCCGTCACGCTATTTCAAAGTGGATAAACTTTTTCAAACTGTTCAGATGTATGTACTGCTTCTTTGAATGAAGCTATAGTAACGATGACCATCTATCTGTCTTACTATACTGCTATGCACTTGTATATCTTTCTCAATCGGACTCCCACGTAGCGCTTACAGCCCACGTGGTTCAGACGGAGCGGGACTCCATACCAATAGCAGCCAGCCAGTGGGTGGTGCTCAGCCCCCCCCCTCCCATCTGTGGGCCAAACAGATTTGCCTGGGCTTGCCTTCTTGGCCACGGAGCATCACATATATAAGGCACCGGCGTTGGAGGTCTCATTCGCCGAGAGAGCCATACACCACTCACCAGCACACATACATAACACACATAACACGCACACACGCACACACGCACACAAGCACATACCCACCCACATAAACTCGTCAAACACCGTCCCTCACTGTATTCCGTCTCACATCATTAACTTTGATCGGATGAGCTACACTGTGGACACAGTCGGGAGCCCGTTCAGGAGAACTATGGATAACAGGACGACCGGCTACGGCTACAGCCGCTCCAGCGGTATCCCTTCCAGCGGCTTTCGCTCCCAGTCTCGGTCCCGAGCAAGCCCCGGCGCCACCGTGACCTCGTCCTACAAGAGAAGCGTGAACATGCCGGTGTCCAGAATGTACAGCTCAACGGTGCACAGCTCCGGCGACAGCGTTGATTATGGTCAAACCTCCATGCTGAACGGAGACTACAGGCGCGCTAACGAGAAAGAGCAACTTCAGGGGCTCAACGACCGGTTTGTCGTTTACATCGACAAGGTGCACTACCTGGAGCAGCAGAACAAGCAGATCGAGGAGGAGATCCACGCACTGCGGCAAAAGCAGGTGTCGCGCTCCGAGCTGGGCAACCACTACGACCAGGAGCTGCAGGAGCTGCGCTCCATGCTGGAGCAGATCCACCACGACAAGGTGCAGATCCAGCTTGACACCGACCACATCGAGGAGGACATTCAGCGGCTCAGGGACCGCTTTGAAGAAGAGGCTCGCATCAGGGAGGAGACGGAGGCCATAATCCGCGTCCTGAAGAAGGACACGGGCGACTCAGAGTTGGTGAAGTCTGAGTTGGATAAGAAAGTTCAGTCGCTGCAGGACGAGATCGCCTTCATCCGCAACAACCACGAGGAAGAGGTTAGTGACCTCATCGCCCAGATCCAGGCGTCTCAGGTGACCGTGGAGAGGAAAGACCTCCAGAAGACGGACATCACCGAGGCTCTGCGGGAGATCCGCTGCGAGCTCGAGGGCCACTCTAACCAGAACCTGCAGCAGGTGGAAAACTGGTTCATGTGCCGATTCTCCAAGCTCACCGAGGCTGCAGACCAGAACAAGGACGCCATCAAGTCCGCTCGCGATGAGATAACCGACTACCGCCGCCAACTGCAGTCCAAGACGGTGGAGTTGGAGTCCATCCGCGGGACAAGAGACTCGCTGGAGAGGCAGCTCAATGACATCGAGGACCGCCACAACAGCGATCTGTCCAGCCTGCAGGTAGGCAAAAAGCAACGGAGCCGTGCGTAAAAAGCTGAAAACCTTTTCTACAACTGTTGATATGAAACTTCTTTTATGATTCTGTTTAAAACTGCCTTAATCTGGGTTGAGTTGGTATGAGCGACGTATAGATTTTTAATACAAAGATTTAGATCTTTAGATCTAAGGGACTTAAAAACAGCATACCTGACTTAATAAAAGCGAAACTGATGATGTTTTGTGTACTAAATCACAGTTACGTTCCTGTGTTGACACATTACCTGCTGCGCAATGATCGCATCTTTACTAGCGCTGACTTTCTTTACAAATCACTCTCCAATTGTCAGTAAAGGGTTAAAGGGAAACACTGCAGCAGCAGACACCCCCTCCCCCCTTATTGCTGAGTCAGAGGCATGGGTCGATGCTGTGTTGTTACATTACGCCATTGAGATTTGTGGGTGGGTGCCTGCATTGAGCTGTCCTTGAGAGAGAGGCTGTCAACATTAATGACTATTGTTTTGCTCAGATTATTGCGTTAAGGCAAAATAAATGATGGCTACATTTGTTAAACAGTATAAGAGGACAAAATTTGTATAATAGTTTTTTTTTTATCTGCTCTGGAAGTTCATCATATTGGACTTAACTAAACCTTATATGTTGCTCCTTTTTTTTCTCAGGAGACAATCCACCAACTGGACAATGAGCTCAAAAGCACCAAATGGGAGATGGCTCGTCACCTGCGCGAGTACCAGGACCTGCTCAATGTCAAGATGGCCTTGGACATTGAGATCGCTGCATACAGGTAGCCTATATACTGACATGCAATTGGCATTTTTTTAGTGGAAAAAAATAAGATTTGCACTTATTTCCTGAAAACCGTACCCTTCATTATGTTTACATCTGCTGTCCTCAGGAAACTCCTTGAGGGTGAGGAAACCCACTTCAGCACATTCCCTTATCGTCACCCGACCGCTACCAAAGTCTCTAAGCCTAAATCAGACCCTCCCAAGCTGAAGGTGCATCACAAGTTTGTGGAGGAGATCATCGAAGAGACGAAGATTGAAGATGAGAAGTCAGACATCGACGAGGCCCTGGCGGAAATAGCACAGGAGCTGTCTGCCACACTCGGGGGTGGGGAAGATGAGGGGGAGGAAGAAGAGGGGGAAGAGGAAGTCGACGGTCAGGGTGAGGAGGAAGAGGGCGAGGGCGTGGAGGAGGAAATTGTAGCCGCCACCAGGGCCAAAGTTAGCTCCAGCAAATCCACTCAGGAGGAAGAGGATGGACAAGGTGACGATGAAGAGGAAGAGGAAGAAGGAGAAGATGAGACTGAAGATGGGGAGGGAGGTGATGGAGAAGAGGGAGAGGAAGAGGAGGAAGTTGAGGAGACAGTCTTATGTTCTAAAGCTCCAGAGTCAAAAGCCTCGCCTGACAAAGAGAAGGCCGGAGACAAAGACAGCATCGAAGGTGAGGAGGAAGCTTGTGCTGAAGAGGAAGATGGTGATCAGGATCAAGATGCAGCTGGGGACGAAGAATCCAAAAGCGGAGATGAGAAAGAGGAAAAAGAGGATACGGACAAAGCCAAAGAAAGCGAAAAAGGAGACAAGGAGCTAAGGGATGAGAAAGAAGAAGAAGCTGTAGCCAAGATAGAAGTTCCAAAGACAGAAGCTGCAAAGCCAGAAGCTGCAAAGTCTGAAGCTGCAAAGCCAGAAGCTGCAAAGTCTGAAGCTCCAAAGTCAGAAGCTGCAAAGTCTGAAGCTGCAAAGCCAGAAGTTGCAAAGTCTGAAGCTGCAAAGCCAGAAATTGCAAAGACAGAGGCCAAGAAGGAAGAAGCTGCCAAGATGGAGGAATCAAAACCAGATTCTCCAAAGGCTGAATCCCCTAAGTCTGAATCACCAAGACCTGCATCTCCTAAGTCTGAATCACCTAGACCTGTATCTCCTAAGTCTGAATCACCTAGACCTGTATCTCCTAAGTCTGAATCACCTAGACCTGTATCTCCTAAGTCTGAATCACCTATACTTGTATCTCCTAAGTCTGAATCACCGAGACCTGGATCTCCTAAGTCTGAATCACCTAGACCTGGATCCCCTAAATCTGAATCACCTAGACCTGGATCTCCTAAATCTGAATCACCTAGACCTGAGTCCCCTAAATCTGAAATACCTCGACCCGATTCCCTTAAATCAGATTCTCCCAAGCCTGCCTCTCCTAAATCTGAGTCCCCCAAAGAAGGCTCACCAAAGCCTGGATCCCCAAAACCCAGCTCCCCAAAAACCGAGTCCACCAAGTCAGACTCCTCAAAACCCGAATCTCCAAAAGCTGAATCCCCAAAGACCACCAAGTCTGAGGCCCCAAAAGCTGCTGAAGAGAAGTCTGAGGAAAAGAGTGACCCAATAAATGACAAGGACATGGAAAAGAAAGATGGTGCCAAGACCGTTGACGGAGACAAGAGCAGCCCAGAAGAGAAAGAGAAGAAGGACGAGGGAAAAGAAGACGGCGTGATCGCTAACGGGGTGGACGAAAGTCCCGTCAAGGAAGACGCCAACCAGAAAGTGGTGGTTACCAAGACTGTGGAAACGATTACCACCGGAGAAGATGGGTCCAAGCACGTCACAAAATCTGTCACTGTGACCGAGACGATGAAGGAAGAAGTGGAAGAGGTGGTGCAGGAGAAGCTGGTATCCACCAAGAAGACGGAGAAGCTCTCCACCCAGTCCATCAAGCAGGTGACAGAGGGAGAATAAGCAGACTACGGGTCAGAGGAGAAGAAGCAGAGATCATGTCAGAACATTACAAAAGAAAAAACATCATACAGCTAGAGCGATGTAATAAAGATAACCACTCGCAAACATACAAATGACTCATAGAGAGAAGCCAAAAGTTAAACGCTATAAATTTCCCAAATGCATGTTGAGTGACAGCTTTAAACGGCGGTGAGGAACTAGTGAGACATTTTATCCTCTTTTTCTTTCTTTCTGCAGTTCACGGTGAGCTCATGCGGGAGGGGTGGGGGGTGGGGGGGTTATCTCTGCATGCTAGCTAAGGACACGGGAGAACTTTCCTCACAACTGTATGTATGGTAGAAACACACTGTAAAAAGAGTAAATATGTAAAAGTAATAAATACATTGTGTGGGGAGGGGTGAGAGGGGAGAGGGATGAGGGGGGGGGGGGGGGTGTAGGTGGGACAAGCAAGTGTGGAGGTTCCTCTACACAGACAATTGCTGTACTGATGAAGCCTTACTTGACATGTGATGGTAACAACTGAGCCAAAAAAGAGCAGCAATATGATAAAAAGATGAACATATAGATCTAGTTAAAGCTTAAGAATCCTGAAGAGCCTTAAACATGCTTTTTATCAGTGTCTATGTTATGTTCACCTGACTGCAACTGAAAAATAAATAAACCATAAACTAATTAGATTTGTGCATTCTTATATGCATAGGATGGACTTGAATTTAAATACAGAAATGAATGAGGTGCTACTTTTCGCAATCCCATGACTTTACTCATCATGAACTATTTCCCAGCAGCATTTGCTCAATAAATGTCATAATGAAGTAAAAAACAGAGATGGTTTCTTGTCTTTTTTTTTAACACATCAATATGTTTTCTTTGTGTACTTTACGTACCAAATCAGAAACGTAAATAATAAGTAATTAAGTTCTAGATGCCACATGAATTTATTCATTTAATAAGATTTAGGATTTATTATCCAAACAAAATCATTTTATTTACAAAAGCAGCTGTGACATGTTTATCACAAAATTGAGTTTGATGAATGAAGTAAATTTTTTGCTCATTATTGTTTAAAGAAATGTATTCAGCTTTGTGTTATTTACATTTTGTTGACAGTCAAATATGCAATTGCTAGTCAATCAGCTTTTTAAACCCAGCACCGGGCTGTTTGCATCATACCTGATGCAGAGAGTTTGCTCCTGCAGGATCTCTAAACTCAACATCTCCACCAGAGGGAGTAAAATAGAGCAGCTGCTGCGGGACGCCAGGTGTCAGAGGATAATGTGCTTCAGTGGGTGTTTGTTTGGACTCTCATCACATTAGAGAAGATTATCGATGTATTTATGAAACAGATTGCAAACTTTGTGTGTTTGTGTAAACGCAGGAATTTAATATTAGTGGGCAAAAACAAGCCTCCAGGTTATATTGTATCAACACCTGACCAGTTTCAATAAGTGTCTGTTATGTAAATAGAGTTATAAAAAAGAGCAGATTGACACATCAGAGTAATCATTATAATCATAATGAATCTTTGTTTGTCTGCCAAAAGCATACAATTACTGTAAATAATCACATACCTTTAACTACTCGGTGCAGCAATCATTCACTTTTTCACATTTAAACCAGGACTGCAATTAAGTAACTATGCAGATTTTCCTGAAGAACAGTCCCTTTGGTCCTTTGTTGACATCAAAGTATAATAATGCATGCCATTTGTCTACACTTTCTCTCCCCCCATCGATATAGCTTCTGTAAATACATGACCATCAGTGGAAATAGTTCACGAGGTATGGCAGGTACTTAATTTGGTCATTTTTGATGAAAGCTAATTATTCAATAATTACAGACCGACTCATTTATGCGTTTTTAGGACATCTCTTACTCTACCCATACTGAAAATCTGACATTTTTACTGTTTTGAGAAGATATGGGCTAATGAACTTTGCAAGGGATGTGGCGCTTTATCTGGCACGACACATGATTTACAAATCAGTTGACCTGCCCTCACCAAATTTGTAACATATTTAAAAGTCGACCCCTGAACACACCCGCATTTTTTACTCGGGGGCGCTGCAGTTAATTGTTAGAAATCTGTCCTTTTAGCCTATTTTCATTGGTTTTTTTGTCGTAAAAGACCGAACACTTCCCAGAGATTAAACCTGATTGAATTTGGGCAGTGTGATCTTTTCTAAAACTAAAAAAATATATAAAAACTATGTGAGCAGACCATCAGCCAAAAAACACCATTTGCCGTGAAAATCGAAGTTGTTTTACCTCGACCATACTATATAATCTGCTGCATATTTCTCATATGTCATAAGCTCCTTACCCCGTTGACACCTATATCATAAATTTTAACCTTAGTCATAGCCTATGGCTGGTCATAACCTGGTGGCAACAGGAAGTTGAATGTTTTCTACTTTGCTCTTGAATTTGTTTGTCTGTCACTGACAGTGTTTTCTAATTGTCTGAGTGACTTGGTAATGAGGAATTAGTGAAGGACATGCTCACATTTCCCACCAAACACTGGAGGTGAGGTAAATACACAACATTTACAAAAGCTAGTGACGTTAAGAGTGGCATAAGGACTTGTTTGTAGTTCACTAAGCAAAACACCTATGAAACACATGGCTTTAAGAAGTGTTTATTAAACCACCAAAATCTCACACTTCCTTTTGCACTCAGCAATTACACATTTTACACTCATCAGGAGCTATGCAAACAGGCCTTTGTGTACTGCTCTTAATATTGGCAAGCAGTTAACCTTGATTTGTGGTAATTGCTGTTTGATTGGATCCATTAAAGTCGAGCATCTAATGCCTCGACTGGTTATCGAGCCAGGCAGTCATGGTTGAAGTCCTTCCTCTTTCACCTCAGACTCCTCTCCTTTTCCTGTGTCTTCTTTCTCCTTGTCATCTTTGGCAGCGTCTGTCATCTTTTCCTGTATCAATGAATGATGAACTAAGTATATTGTGTAGTCCAGGCTTTAATAATATATTTTGAATGAAGAAATTACAGAACATAAAATCAATACACTAACCCTCTTCTCCATCCTTGGCCTCCTCATCTCCTCCCTCAGCCTCCTCATCTCCCTTAGCTTCTTCTTCATCTGCTTGATCTGGTTCTCCTTCCTCCCCGTCCCCTCCGTCATCCTCCTCCTTCTCCTCTTCCTCCTTGGTGTCCTCTGTTTCTTCTCCTCCCTATCCCTCCTTCTCCTCTTCCTCCTTTACATCCTCCTCCTCTTCTCCAGGTGGGCTGGCTGGTGCTTGCTAGGCGTGACTGGCAGAGATGAGCCCCTCAGTGTTGCTGAAGCCGGAGCTGAAGAGGAGTGATGTCATCAGGTAGGAGGGTCCAGAGCTCAGGCCGGAGAGGAAGGGTCGGGCGACGGGGGGCACTGAGAAACTGTGGCTGTAGAGAGAGGACACACTCGCAGGCCCTCCTACGTTGAAACGAGACTCCTCCCCTTCCAGCAGCTTCCTGTGGAGGTTGGTGAAAATAAAGGTGATGAGCGCTGCATGCAATGGGAAGTGAGTGGCCACTTATTAAACTACTACAACATCTACATAAATTCTACATGTATTAAGACCATAAACCAGAGACATCTTTGTGCATAGAAATAAACACGAGGGGGGGCCTCGACAGACCAACGTCCTGACGGCGAGGCGGAGTAGAAGTGGTCATATCCGATGCTACTCATGGCTGAGGGGTACAGCTGCTCTCCCTCTCCTCTTGTGTATGTGTGTGAGTGTGTGTGAGTGTGCGTGAGTGTGCGTGTACGTGTGGAGGTGTACATTGGGCCCAGACTGCAGGAGCCTGAGCTTTAATAGCAGGAACGTGAGCTTTCCCCAAACTCTGCAAATGGCGGCTCGATAGACTTTCACTGCAACAGCAAGAAATGAGACGGACAAGATCTGGAGGGATGAGTGTTGTCGTCTTCTTTCTCTTTTTCTCTCTGTCTGCCTTTCTGTCTCGGGTCGATCTAAAATGGGCCACCCTTGATGCATTAGTTGTGCTTGACTAAAACTTACAACTGAAATCCAATGAATGGGACAAGGAAACAAGGAGATGGATGGCCAGTGTCTAATTCAGTGTTGAGAAACACAAAAGGTTATCTATTCACATGCTAAATCCATTACAAGGAGCATTTTTAAAAACTACCATAGTTATTTTTCCCAGGTATTTCATTTAAGAAGTGGACAAAGTACGCATGAAAAAGGAAATGCAACATACGGACGTCAATCCCGGTTTGCAGAACTCATGGTCGGCTGCCACCGTGGGGGAGGGATCATTTTGGCAGGATTACCGATGTCATGAACCCATCGACTCTTAGAAAGCACAAATGCAGCTGTTTTTGCTGTATCCCTCCACCAATTAGCAATCATTATCACATTGGCCACAGTGATCCAATATAAGAGTGAAGCGTCAAGATGGATGGGAGATCAATAGCCTGTCGTTGAGGCGGAGCAACCAGCTGGGCAGCCCCACCTTTGCTTTGCAGTTCAGAGAGGGGCAATGGCTCAGCAAATGGATGGCAACTTGCCTCTGATAGTTAAGATCCCAAGATAGCTGGAGAAAAAGTGTGTGCATGGGTCTAACAAATGCAGAAACACTACACAGTAAAGTTAACAGAATGTAAGACAAGATCATGTGTTTCCCCATACAACAGAAAATGTCCCAGGACGACATTTCCCTGCATAAAATGAAAATCCACATGTTGGTGGTACAAATGATTCTATTCAAGTTTGGATGAACATTTTAACTTTTTTTTGTTTAACTCAAGGTGAGTCAGAATGACTAAATTCCATTTAGTTTCTTTCTATATAATCAAATAATCTAATTATGTAATGAATATTATGTTGGACACATTCAACATTACATTTTAAATTATCTATATATTACCAGTCAGAGATTGGCATAATATTCTCCATGCCAGCATCACACGTATGCTCTTGTTAAATGTTAAATCATAAATGAGTAATACGTACATTAATAGGTAACACTACAATTAATTTAACATTATGCAAACTCCTGCACCCACAATCACAGGATCACTTGGTCCTCCTCCTGGTTGTTTGGACTTCAAGTGACAAGGCAAAGTCCTGCCTAAACCTGATACAGAACAAAAGTTAACATGTGGTAATTGATCTTTGTGTATTCATAGTTCACTTCATTGATCTGTACGAAAATACTGCTTTCGTTTTATCAGGGGAATTGTGTAAGCCGAGGAAAACCGCTGACCGACGTTTGGCTGATCGCTGTCAGTGGTGCTGAAACGGCGAAACCAATTAAGCGAGGATTGTTTCATTAGGTGGGTGGCAGAAAAGATAGATAAATGGAGAAACCCGTTCAAACTGTTCTAGGGTATACGCTGCTTCTTTGTTCAAATACAGTAATGATAAATAACTATCAATCCATTCATCTAGATAGATATCTTTCTGAACTCCCATGTAGTGCTTGCAGCTCAAATAGTCCAGACGGAGCGGGACCGTGGACCAATAGGGTGGTGCTCAGCCCCCTCCCTCCCATCTTTGGGCCAAACAGAACTGCTTAGACTTGGCTTTTCAGCAACAGAGCCTCACATATATAAGGCACCGCCGTTGGAGGTCTCATTTACGAGAGAGCCACACCACTCACCATCACACATACACACACATAACACACACATCATATTCAGCATATACCCCTTTATTCAGCGTCGGATCATTAACTTTGATCGGATGAGCTACGCTATGGACACAGTCGGGAGCCCCTTCAGGAGAAATATGGATTCCAGGACGACCGGCTACGGCTACAGCCGCTCCGACAGTATCCCGCCCAGCGGTTTTCGCTCCCAGTCTCGGTCCCGAGCAAGCCCCGGCGCCACCGTGACCTCGTCCTACAAGAGGAGCAAGAACATGCCGGTGTCCAGAATGTACAGCTCAACGGTGCACAGCTCCGGCGACAGCGTTGATTATGGTCAAACCTCCATGCTGAACGGACACTACAGGCGCGCTAACGAGAAAGAGCAACTTCAGGGGCTCAACGACCGGTTTGTCGTTTACATCGACAAGGTGCACTACCTGGAGCAGCAGAACAAGCAGATCGAGGAGGAAATCCACGCACTGCGGCAGAAGCAGGTGTCGCGCTCCGAGCTGGGCAACGACTACGACCAGGAGCTGCAGGAGCTGCGCTCCATGCTGGAGCAGATCCACCACGACAAGGTGCAGATCCAGCTTGACACCGACCACATCGAGGAGGACATTCAGCGGCTCAGGGACCGCTTTGAAGAAGAGGCTCGCATCAGGGAGGAGACGGAGGCCTTAATCCGCGTGCTGATGAAGGACACGGGCGACTCAGAGTTGGTGAAGTCTGAGTTGGATAAGAAAGTTCAGTCGCTGCAGGACGAGATCGCCTTCATCCGCAACAACCACGAGGAAGAGGTTAGTGACCTCATCGCCCAGATCCAGGCGTCTCAGGTGACCGTGGAGAGGAAAGACCTCCAGAAGACGGACATCACCGAGGCTCTGCGGGAGATCCGCTACGAGCTCGAGGGCCACTCTAACCAGAACCTGCAGCAGGTGGAAAACTGGTTCATATGCCGATTCTCCAAGCTCACCGAGGCTGCAGAACAGAACAAGGACGCCATCAAGTCCACCCGCGATGAGATAACCGACTACCGCCGCCAACTGCAGTCCAAGACGGTGGAGTTGGAGTCCATCCGCGGGACAAGAGACTCGCTGGAGAGGCAGCTCAATGACATCGAGGACCGCCACAACAGCGATCTGTCCAGCCTGCAGGTAGGCAAAAAGCAACGGACCCGTGCGTAAAGAGCTGAAAACCTTTTCTACAACTGTTGATATGATACTTCTTTGATGATTTTGTTTTAAAATGCGTTAATCTGGGTTTGTATTGTTGTGAGCGATGTATATATTTTTAATACACGGAATATGTCATGGGGCGGCACGGTGGCGTGGTGGTTAGCACTGTCGCCTCACAGCAAGAAGGTCCTGTGTTTGACTCCGCCCAGTGGCCTTTCTGTGTGGAGTCTGCATGTTCTCCCCGTGTCTGCGTGGGTTCTCTCCGGGTACTCTGGCTTCCTCCCACAGTCCAAAGAGATGCTCTGGGGATCAGGTTAATTGGGGACTTTAAATTGCCCGTAGATGTGTGAATGTGAGTGTGAATGGTTGTATGTCTCTGTGTGGCCCTGCAATTGGCTGGCGACCAATCCAGGATGTACCCTGTCTATTGCCCGAAGTTGGTTGGGATAGTCTCCAGCCCCCCCGCGACCCTGTGTGCAGGATAAGCGGTTTGACAATAGATGGATGGAATATGTCATTTTCCATATATTGTTTTTATCTAAGGAACTTAAAAACAAAACTGCTCAGGTTTTCTTTAGTAAATCACAGTTACGTTCCTGTGTTGACACATTTTCAGCCACGTCATGATTGCATCGTTACAAGCGCCGGCTTCTTTTACAAATCACTCTCCAGTTGTATGGAAATGGTTATAAATGGTTAAAAAAAAGTTTGAAAGCTCTTTGCACAAGTCTTGCTAATTCACCACTTAATCCACCTTGTTTTTGTAATGCTTCTTTTTTTCTCAGGAGACAATTCACCAGCTGGACAATGAGCTCAAAAGCACCAAATGGGAGATGGCTCGTCACCTGCGCGAGTATCAGGACCTGCTCAATGTCAAGATGGCCTTGCACATTGAGATCGCTGCATACAGGTAGCCTACATACTGACATGCAATTGGCATTTTCGTGGCAGAAATAACATTTGTAGTCATTTCATGAAAACGGTACCCCTCATTACATATATATCTGCTGTCCTCAGGAAACTCCTTGATGGTGAGGAAACCCATTTAAGCACTTTCCCTTATCGTCATGCAACCGCCTCTACAATCTCTAAGCCTAAATCAGACCCTCCCAAGCTGAAGGTGCATTACAAGTTTGTGGAGGAGATCATCGAAGAGACAAAGGTAGAGGATAAGAAGTCAGATATCGACGAGGCCCTGGCAGAAATGGCACAGGAGCTGTCTGGCACACTTGGAGGTGGGGAAGATGAGGGGGATGAACAAGGAGAAAATGAGACTACTGATAGGGAAGATGGGGAGGGAAGTGATGAAGGAGACAGCAATGAGAGAGAGGGAGAGGGGGAAGTTGAGGAGACAGTCTTATGTTCTAAAGCTCCAGAGTCTAAAGCCTCGCTTGACAAGGAGAGGGCCGGAGACATTGAAGGAGAGGAAGAAGCTGATGCTGAAAAGGAAAATGGTGATAAGGACAAAGATGCAGGTGAGGATGAAGCAATCCAAAGCAGGGGTGAGAAAGATGATGAAGAGAACGCGGACAAAGAAAGTGAAAAGTATGTGAAGAAGTTAAGAGATGAGAAAGCAAAAGAAGTTGTAGAAGTAGGAGTTCCAAAGACAAAAGCTGCAATGGAAGCTCCTAAGCCAGAAGTTGAAAATTCAGATGCTGCAAAGCCAGAAGCTGTAAATCCAGAAGCTGTAAAGCCAGAAGCTGTAAATCCAGAAGCTGTAAAGCCAGAAGTTGAAAAGCCAGAAGTTGCGATGCCAGAAGTTGAAAAATCAGAAGTTGAAAAGCCAGAAGTTGCAAAGTTAGAAGCTGCAAAGCCAGAAGTTGCAAAGTCAGAAACTGCAAAGCAAGAAGGTGCAAAGATAGAAGTTGCAAAGTCAGAAACTGCAAAGCAAGAAGGTGCAAAGATAGAAATAAAAAAGTCAGAATCTGCCAAGCCAGAAGTTGAAAAATCAGAAGTTGCAAAGCCAGAAGTTGCAAAGTCAGAAACTGCAAAGCCAGAAGTTGAAAAATCAGACGTTGAAAAGCCAGAAGTTGCAAAGTTAGAAGGTGCAAAGCCAGAAACTGCAAAGCATGAAGGTGCAAAGATAGAAGTTGCAAAGTCAGAAACTGCAAAGCAGGAAGGTGCAAAGATAGAAGTCACAAAGTCAGAATCTGCCAAGCCAGAAGTTGAAAAATCAGAAGTTGCAAAGCCAGAAATTGCAAAGTTAGAAGTTGCAAAGCCAGAAGTTGAAAAGACAGAAGTTGCAAAGCCAGAAGTTGAAAAGACAGAAGTTGCAAAGCAAGAAGGTGCAAAGATAGAAGTTGCAAAGTCCGAAACTGCAAAGCAAGAAGGTGCAAAGATAGAAGTCACAAAGTCAGAATCTGCCAAGCCAGAAGTTGCCAAGCCAGAAGTTGTAAAGTCAGAAACTGCAAAGCCAGAAGCTGCAAAGCCAGACGTTGCCAAGACAGACATTGCCAAGCGAGAGGTTAAAATATCAGAGGTTCCAAAGCCAGAAGTAGCAAAGCAAGAAGCTGTAAAGCCAGAAGTTCGAAAGCCCGAAGTTGAAAAGCCAGAATTTGCCAAGCCAGAAGTTGAAAAGCCAGAAGTTGCCAAGCCAGAAGTTGAAAAGCCAGAAGTTGCAAAGTCAGAAGCTGCAAAGCCAAAAGCTGAAATGCCAGAAGTTGAAAAGCCAGAATCTGCCAAGCCAGAAGCTGAAAAGCCAGAAGTTGCAAAGTCAGAAGCTGCAAAGCCAGAAGCTGAAACGCCAGGAGTCACAAAGTCAGAATCTGCCAAGCCAGACATTGTAAAGCCAGAGGTTGAAAAATCAGAAGTTGCAAAGCCAGAAGTTGCAAATCAAGAAGCTGTAAAGCCAGAAGTTGCCACGCTAGAAGTTGAAAAGCCAGAAGTTGCAAGCAGAAATTGCAAGTTAGAAGTTGCAAAGCCAGAAGTTGAAAAGACAGAAGTTGCAAAGCCAGACGTTGCAAAGTCAGGAACTGCAAAGCAAGAAGGTGCAAAAATAGAAGTCACAAAGTCAGAATCTGTCAAGCCAGAAGTTGCCAAGCCAGAAGTTGTAAAGTCAGAAACTGCAAAGCCAAAAGCTGCAAAGCCAGACGTTGCCAAGACAGACATTGCCAAGCCAGAGGTTAAAATATCAGAGGTTCCAAAGCCAGAAGTAGCAAAGCAAGAAGCTGTAAAGCCAGAAGTTGAAAAGCCCGAAGTTGAAAAGCCAGAATTTGCCAAGCCAGAAGTTGAAAAGCCAGAAGTTGCCAAGCCAGAAGTTGAAAAGCCAGAAGTTGCAAAGTTCGAAGCTGCAAAGCCAAAAGCTGAAATGCCAGAAGTTGCAACGTCAGAATCTGCAAAGCCCGAAGTTGAAAAGCCAGAATTTGCCAAGCCAGAAGTTGAAAAGCCAGAAGTTGCAAAGTTAGAAGCTGCAAAGCCAAAAGCTGAAACGCCAGGAGTCACAAAGTCAGAATCTGCCAAGCCAGACATTGTCAAGCCAGAGGTTGAAAAATCAGAAGTTGCAAAGCCAGAAGTTGCAAATCAAGAAGCTGTAAAGCCAGAAGTTGCCACGCCAGAAGTTGAAAAGCCAGAAGTTGTAAAGTCAGAAACTGCAAAGTCAGAAGCTGCAGAGTCTGAAGCTGCCAAAACGGAGGAATCTAAAGCAGATTCTAAACCAGATTCTTCAAAGCCAGAGGCCAAGAAGGAAGAAGCTGCCAAAACGGAGGAATCTAAACCAGATTATTCAAAGCCAGAGGCCAAGAAGGAAGAAGCTGCCAAAATGGAGGAATCTAAGCCAGATTCTCCAAAGTCTGAATCCCCTAAATCTGAATCACCTAGACCTGGATCCCCTAAATCTGAATCACCTAACCCTGAGTCCCCTAAATCTGAAATACCTCGGCCCGATTCCCTTAGATCTGATTCTCCCAAGCCTGCCTCTCCTAAATCTGAGTCCCCCAAAGAATGCTCACCAAAGCCTGGATCCCCAGTACCCAGCTCCATAAAAACCGAGACCACCAAGTCACACTCCTCAAAACCCGAATTTCCAAAAGCTGAATCCCCAAAGACCGCCAAGTCCGAAGCCCCAAAAGCTGCTGAAGAGAAATCTGAGGACAAGAGTGACCCAATAAATGACAAAGACATGGAAAAGAAAGGTGATGCCAAGAACGTTGACGTAGACAAGAGCAGCCCAGAAGAGAAAGAGAAGAAGCACGAGGGAAAAGAAGATGGCATGATCGCTAACGGGGTGGACGAAAGTCCCGTCAAACAAGACGCCGACCACAAAGTGGTGGTCACCAAAACTGTGGAGTCGATTACCACCGGAGAAGACGGGTCCAAGCACGTCACCAAATCTGTCACTGTGACCAAGAGGATGAAGGAAGAGGTGGAAGAAGTGGTGCAGGAGAAGCTGGTATCCACCAAGAAGACGGAGAAGCTCTCCACCCAGTCCATCGAGCAAGTGAAAGAGGGAGAATGAGCAGACTACGGGTCAGAGGAGGAGAAGCAGAGATCACCTAAGAACTAATATTACAAAAGAAAAAACATCATACAGCTAGAGCGATGTAATAACCACTTGAAAACATACAAATGAATTATAGAGACAAGCCAAAAGTTCAACTTTAAGCTATACATTTCAAAAATGCAGCTTTAAACAGGTACTGCTCCTGCGGTGAGGAGCTAGCGAGACATGCTTTCTATCACTGTCTGTCTGTCATTTGACTGCAACTGAAAAACAAAAAAATAAGTTTAAAAAATTATTAATTTGTGCATTCTTATATGCATAGGATGGAGTTGAATTTAAATACAGAAATTAATGAGGGTTTTTGTAATCCTGTGACTTAACTACAATTTATAATTCTACAGCAGCATTTGCTCAATAAATTCAACAATGATATAAAAACAGATATTGTTTCTTGTCATGTGTATCAATGTATTATTGTTTTCTTTGTTTACATAATGTATCAGAATAGTTAATAAGTAGTTTTGAATGTTTGAAATTATAACTTTTAAAGGATTATTAAGTTATGAAGTGAATGGCTTTTTTTCCAACTTCATTTTTTGTCATTCTACAACAGACACAGATATTTTTTTTTCTCTGACCCTTTCCTTATTTACACCTTCATGGAGTCCATACTTAACCATATGACGTTCTAGAGGCCACATGAATTTGTCTATTGTGGAATTAAGATTTATGATTAACAATAAGACCAAAATACTTGGGCTGTTAATAGATTTAAAAAAATGTACTAATTAATCGCACATTCATTAGTCTTGATTAATGGCAATTGATGAATGTTGTTGTTGTTACAATGTTGGTTTAATGAATTTTGTTTTTCTTCTAAAGATTAATCTTAAAAGTAATGAGTAGGCTAACACTGTTGTTTAATTGTTAATGTTACTTTATACACAAAACTACACACATTTGATCAACTTGGAGGCAGGTACTGCACGGGGGTCGCAGAATATATTGTTTATAATTTTTTTCCCACAAATTTAGATGTCTATAGATAGCTATAAAAGTAATGCAAGAGCAAAGCGGATCCCAGAGAAACCAAAAATAGAACAATATACATGAATTCTAATATGTGTGGGTAAAAAAACCTGCAGAAAAAACAATGGTAATTGTCACCACCTTTAATTTAAGTCTTTGAAGCACCCATAATAATTTGGTGCTTGCAAATACAAAGTTTATTGTTGTACATTAGGTTGCAACAGTAGCTCTGTTTAAAAAAAATATAAAAAAATAAACTATATTTGTTACATTTTGCATTTTAAACATTCAAATGTATAACTTTTTTTCAGAAAATCTTTTTTTAATTATACAATTAAAATATATATTTTTTAGTAAAACAGTAGTCGAAGATGTTCTGAACACATATATATTAGTCATTGTTTGGAATTACAGAGAAAACGTTTAATAGTACCTAAAATATTTTCGAATGTACAAATGTAGGCTATATAATTTGGAAAATTATCTTAATTGGTACAGTAAAAAGGTCAGATTCTTAGTATGGGTGGTCAGAGATGTCCTGAACCCACATACATGAGTGATTGTCTGAAATAGCTTTTATCATACTTATGAATTACCCTTTTCTCTGTACAAATACAATCATTTAGAACATATACAAATTGGTACGGTAAAAATTTAAACTTTTCTGTATGAATTAATTCAAAAGATACCCTGAAAACAAATAAATGAGTCATTGTTTGTTTATTTAATTATTGAGTAAAACTGAAGACACTTATTACAACTGATTGTGTCTTGATTCAAAATAACCTGGAGGCTTGTTTTTACCCACTTACGTTAAATTACTGCTTATACAAACAGTTTACAATCTGTTTCATAAGTACGTCTATATCTTCTATAATGTGATGAGAGATCGTCCCAATAAACACCCACTGAAGCACATTATCCTCTGACACCTGGCATCACCCAGTACCTGCTCTATTTTACTCCCTCAGGTAGATATTGAGTTTATAGATTCTGCAGCAGCAAGCTCTCTGCATCAGGTATGATGCAAACAGCGTGGTGTTCGGTTTAAAAAGCTGATGCAGTGTATTTCTTTACACTTATCAATAGCATTGTTGTATATTTTACTGTTGACAAAATGTAAATAGCCCAAAGCGGAATAAATATCTTTCAGCAATACCCATTAGCTAAAAAATGAATCCCATCCTTTCACTATGGTCAGACAAACATTAAAGCATTCTGTTTTATATTGGATTAGATCAAATACATTCCTAGTTGATGATTCTATTAATATTAAATTACATTATTCTTTAGATCACAGGTGTCAAACTGTCAAGTCGGGGGGTCCAGCGCGGCCAGCCAGGTGACTTTGCAATTGTGAGAATTACAGAAAGACATAAATTGCATTTCTATAATAGTAGCTGCTATTTCTAAAAAGTCCACTGGGAGTCGCACTCTGTAAGTGAGTGCATGCGTTAGACCAGGGGGACCAGGTCGTTCACCAACGCAGTGCCTCATATATATCATATATATATAAAGGCTAGATGTCTCGTCCGTGTTGCCGGCCAACGGAGTCGAACGTCCGCACATAGCGGCCATCTTGGTACAGTGCGCTCACTCACCCATAACATGGGTGTTGTGTTGGTAGTGAAACATGTACAATGTAGGTACAAGATTTCCCTTTACAAATATACAAGAAATGCTGCATTTAGATTCACCTTTGTGGAAAAGATGTCAGACCTGCTTTTGATGATGACAGTATTTTGTAGGGCTGTCAACACAAACACGTTAATCTATGTGATTAATGTGGCCGAGATTAATGCAACAAAATATTTTAAATAGTTAACGGATGTTTGTTTACTTCCGCTTTATATTCAGTCCCTGAAGTAAAGCGGAAGTTGACCGCGGAACGAAACGGCCGCTAGCTATAGTCAGTTACATAAAGATGGAGAGAGCTTTTTGTATTGGACGTAAGACATAAAGCGCAGAACTGTGCAGAGGAGTTACTCCACTTGTCCAACAGAAGGGGGTGAGTGGCAAACGAACCACTTAAAGCACTTCTATGCTAAGCTCGCTGCTATGCTAAGCTAGCTGCTAGGCTAAGCTGGCTGCTATGCTTCTCAACATCTAACATTACCCTGCGCAGCAGACAGTCTGCAGAGGACCAGCACCATGGTTTGAAAACGTCCTGGCTAAAGGTGGGGAGATTGTTGGCACGTCAAACACAGCCGTTAAATTATGGAGAGTTGTGAGCAAAGTGCACGAGAATAGGAGTTTAACATGTTCCACCAAGTGGAATTCTGCCTCCAAGATGATCAAATGTGTGTCTAAAAATACAAGTTTTCTAAAGTGATTACTCATTACTTTTAAGATTTAGTCTTTAGAAGAAAAACAAAATTCATTAAAAACAGTATTGTAACAATATTCGTTAATCGCCATTAATCGAAAAACAAAAAAAAATGTAATCTATTGTTAGCGGTAATTAGTTTATTATGTTACTGACAGTGTTTGTAATTGTCTGCGTGACTTCAAAATGAGGAATTAGTGAAGGACATGCTCACATTTCTCACCAAACACTGCTGGTGAGGTGATTACACAACGTTTACACTGTGACGTTAAGAGTTGCATCAGGACTTCTTAATACGCTAATTGATAACTATCTAATTAATTAGTAATTATAAGTTAATAATTACTAGTTTAATAAGCAGATGACACACAATCCTTTTAAGAGGTGTTTATTAAATCACCAAAATCTCACACTCCCTTTTGCACTCGGCAATAATAGATATTACACTCATCAGGAGCTATGCAAACAGGTACTACTATTGATCTTGGTAAGCAGTTAAACTTGATTTGTTGCTGCAAAATGCGATTGCACTGTTATATTGAGCACCATTGACAATTGAAGAGGATAGCATATAATGCCACGGGCATTGAGTCAATGGACAGTCGTGGTTGAAGTTTTCTGAAGATGCTGTCTCACTTTTTGCCCTTTGTGCTTGTTTCTTCTGCGGGTTCCGGTTTGGCTACTTTTTCTTCCTCGTTCTCCTTTTTGGCTTCAGGTTTGACATCCGTTTTCAGAATAACTTTTTCATCTTTGTCGTCTGTCTTGGCATCAGCTTTATCTTCTTTATTTTCACTTTTTTTTGCCTCATCCTTCTCCGTCTTTTCTTCTTCTTTCGCATCCCCATCTTTGCCATCGGCTGTTTCAGTTGTTACCTCCTGTTGGGCTTCCTCTTTCACCTCAGACTCCTCTCCTTTTCCTGTGTCTTCTTTCTCCTCTTCATCTTTGGCAGCGTCTGTCATCTTTTCCTTTTGCTCCTCCTCATCACCTGTATCAATGAATGATGAATTAATTATATTGTGTAGTCCAGGCTTTAATAATTTATTTTGAATTAAGAAATTACAGAACATAAAATCAATACACTAACCCTCTTCTCCCTCCTTGGCCTCCTCATCTCCTCCCTCAGCCTCCTCATCTCCCTTAGCTTCTTCATCAACTTGATCTGGTTCTCCTTCCTCCTCGTCCCCTCCGTCATCATCCTCCTTCTCCTCTTCCTCCTTGGTGTCCTCTGTTTCTTCCCCTCCCTGTTCCTCCTTCTCCTCTTCCTCCTTTACATCCTCCTCCTCTTCTCCAGGTGGGCTGGCCTCTGCTTGCTGGGCATGACTGGCAGAGATGAGCCCCTCAGTGTTGCTGAAGCCGGAGCTGAAGAGGAGTGATGTCATCAGGTAGGAGGGGCCAGAGCTCAGGCCGGAGAGGAAGGGCCGGGCGATGGGGGGCGCTGAGAAGCTGTGGCTGTAGAGAGAGGACACACTCGCAGGCCCTCCTACGCTGAAACGAGACTCCTCCCCTTCCAGCAGCTTCCTGCGGAGGTTGTCGAAAATAAAGGTGATGAGCGCTGCATGCAATGGAAAGTGAGTGTCCACTTATTAAACTTCTACAACATCTACATAAATTCTACATGTAGTAAGACGGTAAACAAAAGAGATCTTTGTGCATAGGAATAAACTTTGTAATCGATACTCCATCTTCATTTCAACATATATGTTCACTATTGCTGCTTCTCACCTGTATGCGGCAATCTCAATGTCCAGTGCCATCTTGACATTCAAAAGGTCCTGGTATTCTTTCAGATAGCGCGCCATTTCCTGTTTGGTGCCCCTCAGCTCACTCTCCAACTCTGCAATGGTGTCCTAAATAGAAGCCAAGACAAAAGGCCACACCACATTAAATGAAACAAAGACCATAAGTAATACCCCCAAAAGTGAAAAGATCTGGACAGTACACAGCAGATTGAACACATCACATTAGAATACATTACTGACATGCATAGCATCCATCTCAGCGTCCTGCTTGTCCTCCATCTCGTGCAGCTGCTTCTCCAGGGATTCATTGAGGCCTCGGCATGCATCAATCTCCAGCAGGCGGGCCTGGAGCTGCCGTCGGTACTCTCCTGCTTCATCCTTGGAGTTTCTCACGGCATCACTGTGCTGAGCCACAGTTTCGGTCATGGAGCCCACCTTCCCCCTGAACCACTCTTCGGCAGCGTGCATGTTTTGCGCCGCCAGCCTTTCATACTGGGACCGGATGTCCCTGAGTGCTCCAGAGAGGTCCGGAGCTGCGGCCTCAGACTCCACTCTCACCTGCACAGCCATCTGGACCTGGGCCTGGAGCTCAACCACCTCACCTTCATGAACCCTCTTGAGGAAGGCCAGCTCCTGTAGCAGAGCTTCGACGCTCTTCTCCCGCTGAGCCTTAGCCAGGGCAGCCTCGTCTGCCTCGTGGCGGGTGTCCATCAGCCGGCCCTCGGCCTCCTCACGAGCCAGTCCTTCCTGTTCATATCGACCCTGCAAGGCGCTCAGGGTTTGCTCCAGCTGCTCCCTCTGTCCCAGGACAGCCTGTTGTTCTGCCCTGGCCTCATCCACAGCAGCTCTCAGGGCCCGGGCCTCCTGCTCATACAACGCTCTCAAACGGGACGGCTCCGTGTACTTCTGCCTCAGCAGCAGCAGCTCTGACTCCAAAGCGCGGTTCTGCTGCTCCAGCTCACGCACCCTCTCGATGAAGCCGGCGAAGCGGTCGTTGAGGTCCTGCAGCTGGCCCCGCTCTTGGGTGCGCACGGTGCGGAATTCGGAGCTGATCTGGGCGGCCTGGCTGAGCTCCAGCTCCAGGGAGGCGGCTTGAGAGGAGGAGGAGGAGGAGGAGAGCCTCACCCGGCCAGGAGAAGAGTACTGCAGACGGGAGGAGGACAGCGGGGAGGCATGGGAGGAGTAGACTGAGTGGGTCCTCCCTCTGGTCACGGCGACACGAGGGGGGGCCTCGACATACCAGCGTCTGGACGGCGAGGCGGAGTAGAAGTGGTCATATCCGATGCTACTCATGGCTACAGCTGCTCTCCTTCTCCTCTTTGTGTATGAGTGTGTGCGTGTGTGCGTGTGCGTGTATGGCTGGAGGTGTACAGCGGGCTCAGGCTTAAGCCTCGACTGCTCGCTGCTGCAGCAGCCTGAGCTTTTATAGCAGGACAGTGAGCTCTGACGCAAGCACTTTCCCCAAACTCTCCCCAAAGGCTTTCAAAGGATTTCACTGCAACGGCAAGAAACGGGACAGACAGGGAAAAGAGTTAAAGACAGACAGGAGGGCAGGTCACAAAAATACATGTTACGTGAATAATACTTTTGCCGGTCTCTTCAATATGTTTCTAAAAAGTAATATCTGTATGCTTATGTGGACTTGTACTGCAAAAAACTGTTCTATTCTTAGAATAAAAACAAAAAACATGGTTAAACCTACTTCTCCCGTCCTCACTGCAGCAGAGAGGGGAGGGGGGTGTCTTGGTTCAACTGCAGTGACACAGCATCTCTCCGTCTGCTGTAGAGCAGAACAACAGCCGTAGCCTAAAAAGACTTGCAATGATACAACCTCATCCAAACTGGTCTAAAACAAGGGAAGAGGTTACATATAGAAGTTTTGTTTGAATGTTTGTTTAATAAACTTGTCTCTAGGAGATTAATTCATTTCTATTGTACAGATGATATCAGTTTTTCCTTGATATTTATAATAATCTAGCTAACAAACTAACAAAAGGTCTGAGTTCCCCAAAAACAACATTAAAGTTAATCATTTTTGTGCAAATGTCACAAGAGATTTACAGCATGAATTAGGTATAAAATGTCCTTGAGAATGCAACGTTATCATCACCATCAAAATGGACACAATAGAGATAGAGATAGATAGCAATGTTTTCAATCATTGAAAGAAAAGTCTTTTTTCCTTTTTTTTTTCCTTTTCATTTTATAAAAGACTAACAGTCCCTCTCATCTGCAGGACAGATACCCTGGCAGGTCAATTACACCGAGCTGCTGACATGCATTTTCTTTTTCTGGTGTTTTAGAGGGTGTGAGAGAGTGTGTGTGAGTGTGTGTGTGCAGGTATGCAATGGCTCAGTGAAAGTATATGTTGGGAGATTTGGAGTGCATTTTCACCAATAACTTTGTGTTCGTGTCTGCATATTCCGTAGTGTGTGGATGCTCCAATTTGCAGCAGAGGTCCCTCCCAGTACTCACAGAACAGAAGCGAGGCAGGCAGTGAGACGCCTGGGACTCCAGTGGGAGCTGCGTGGACTCTGCTGCAGGCTGAGTCATCGTAACAGTTGTGATCACACAAACTCCCCTGTGTACACTCATTTTCAGCCTAACAGCAGTTTAACAATCTGCGTTAGGGCAAATCTTAGGGCAGACAACGTACTTGCAGCAAATGAACGAGACAAAGTAGACCAATAACGTCTCTTCACAAAAACATTTCTGTTGTTGTTTTGTCGGTGAATCTGATTAAGATAAAAGCACAGACGTAGTTTCTGTTTGAATTTATTGCATTTAAAAATCCCAGTAGCTCTAAGCATCGACATGATGATGGCATTAGATAATTCAGCTGTTAAGTAACATGCTGGTGGTTACAGGCAGGTTGAGGGCTACTGATTCAAGGCAATAGTGGAGCAATAGTGTTTATTCACACTCCAGAGGCAGATTATTATCCCTTTTTGGCCACTTGGGGCACTTTTTTTTCTAACGAGTTAAGGGATATACACACACCATCACCAATAATCCTGCCTATTGGCCAAATTTGCTTAATTCAATTTCTTGGGGTTTTAGATTTCTTGCATCAAAAGGTAGACAGCGTTCACACACACACACAAACACACACACCCCACAAAACACAACGATCAGCCATGTGCAGCACGAACATTGCTGACCTCTAGTGTAGGTGTTAAGGTTTCGGAAGCTCTCGAGGGAGGACTCAATCCTCTGTTCTCGTCCCGGCCGGAAACGAGGACACGAATGAGTCAATTCGTTTAAATTCAAAAATCAAAAGTTATTTAATAACTGAACAACGTAATAGGGATTACAATTACAAAGTGAAATACTAAGCGAACAGTGGAATATTTCGCGAAATAGAGAATCCTCTGAGCAAGTCTGAAGTGACTTATCAACGCGGCTGCAGGAGAAGTTCTAACAGTCTTTTCCCCGCTTTGGTCCTTTGAAAACTCTTGAGGTGTGTCTTCTTTGGTGCATTTGAATGTCATTGGCCTCTTCTCCAAAGGGTCACCTCCTCCATTGTCCTCTTCACGTCGAGGTGTGAAGCTGCAGCTGTAACCTGAAACCTCTCTGTCCTAGCTGTCCCTCAAATTCCAATGCACTCAATGCAGATACAGTGGCTTTATGCCTCAATGAGTGAACCCAACAAAGCATACATCGTTTAAGTCTTCATCTTATAACTAGTACACTTTCATTACAACAACCCATCATTAATGATCACCGTTCATCACATTTCATCATAAGATCTAAGACAGTTCATGTGGTTCAATTCTCAAGACATTTGCCTCAGTCGGCTGCCTTGAAATAAGTTGTTCATTTTATTACCTGACAGGAGAAAAAACTCCCAAAAAACCCTTTTTGGGGATAAAATTGGGAGAAATCCATAAAGAACGGCAATTGGCATCCGTCCCCAGGTTTTAACATCACATTGTAACAGAATGTAAATGTGTAGTGTGTTTCTACGTTTTAAAAGACTATAAACTGTGTTTGATTCACATTGTATTCACTTCATCTAACATGTTAATGTAATAACTAATCTAACATCACACAAACTACAATTCTATCACTAAACATCATTACACGCACTACAAATTCTATGACTAGGGGTGCACTCCTGGCTTAAATCCCTAACAATTCCCTCCTTGCTCACAGTTCACTGTGAGCATCTCTCAAAGACAGAAAAATTATCATACAGTCACATCCGTCAACAGTGATTGTCCCTCATCATCTACTCGCTACCGATTTCCCTGTATACTAGTCTCACTAAACACAATATCGATCAATCCCTGCAGGAATCCAAGGATGCAGGAGATGCAGCTTCATTCGTAGTGGACTAGATCATGACTGTAACACAAGAAGGGTTAACGCAGACAGGAATGCACTTTTCCGTTGTGCAATAATACTGACAAACCCGTTGGTGAGAGGATTGTCGTCGCCTTAGTTGTCTGCCAGCTGCTGGTTCAAGCTGTCAGTGGGGCTTGTGTTCTGGTCACCAAGCCACCAGGGGCTGTGTTATTGGGAATAAAAGTACAACAGGCAGATCCAAACATTCTACAGACTCCTCCCTTCTCTGCCAAGATCATGTCCAGTGCCATTCTATTTTGCCATGCCATCAAACTAGTCTTATCCAACTGCTCGTGGAGCCCTGTTATGGCATCCCGGGTGAAATTTATGAATCGCTGCTGGTTGTAGTATATGTAATTAATCCAGTCTACATTTTTATTGATTGTCACCCACCAGAAGAAAAAGGATTCTATGCCGCTCGCAATTTGATTCCTGGCTTTAAACTCATCAGGCACCCCTCTGGGCACCCCAATGGCATCTAAGTACACATGACTATCAAATGAGCCCGCAGGACTAGTGGATCTCTTCGCTCTCCTGGCGACGTGAGGATGTGGTGAAATCAAGTCTTGAAATGTGGTCTCCTTCACTGGAAAGACATAGAATGGCATGATAAGCTGCACTAATGCACAAGTACCCGTCCAATTAGCTGGCAGCGTTGGATAAATAACCTTAGTTCCACACCACCACCAGAGGTCAGCTCTGGGAATCGTCTGATTCAACACACTTGAATATCGAGTGACATTAGCAAACTGAACTGTGGTACAGTTTACTCCTACAATGTCACCTACTTTTATCCCTCCCGTTATCTCCGATACTATGCAATCAAATGTACCATCCGGAATCATAAATTGAGGTGGCGTGCTCAAGGTAGCTGGCGGATAATCCCATTGGAACTCTAGACGAGTATGGTGGACAGGCTGAGTCTGCAGGACAAAGAGCTCCAGTATACATTTGAATATAGGACTTATTGGTCTGAATCTGGAACGTACAGGAGTGGGCATAGGCCTAGGTTGAGAACACACTATACAATCTGTACTGTGCATGTTTGTGGCAGTAAACTGTACCCATTGGAGCCATAGATTAGACTCCGAGAATCCAGTTTCCCGTCTTACCACCCCCTCCCAAGAAGTGTCAGCTTCAGCTCCAACCTGATCAGCAGTGGATTCCTGTTTGTTAGCAGAGGGTTTAACAACAATCTTAAACAACCCTTGTGGGCTTTCAATATCATATGTCCCTCCTTTCAACACGTATAGTCCACTGTCCCCCAATTCTGGATTTTTCAATGTGATTATCAGTGGATTGCACAACCCTCCCCCACATCTAGCCAAATCTGGATATCGGTTTTTCCGCATCGTTAAACGGGTTTGCAGCCCAGGTTTAGGACCAGTTTTAGATGACTTCCATCTACCAGTGTGTGCGAACTTCCATTCTGCCTCCTCGCAGTCAGAGCCGTACTGCTCCACTGGCTTACCAAACCTGACTCCTGGTCCACATCGGTTGGTGGTGGAACACAAGTATTGGTCCGACCTCCAAAACCTGAGGTCTTGGACTCCGCAGGCTGCAATATCACAATAATCAAATTGAACAGATGCAGTTATATTTTCCTTGAATGTCAACGTGAGAGCAATTGCTGCTTGGATGTTAGGTGGTAAGGAAACATCTTGTCGACTGGGATGGGATAGATCACTTACAGACGTCATGTCATCGTCACCTGTGTGAACAGCTGCACCTCCCCGAGCTGAACTTGAACTCCCTACTACCAACTGATACTTACGCTGTGGGCGAGACATTTTCTGCTGCTTTGTCCCCTCCTGTGTCTTTTGGCTCTGAATTAACTTGCCTGGTATTTAATCGGGTCTCCGCAAGGGTCTGGCTTGGTGCCTTAGCAGGTGCACAATGTGTGAGATGATGCCAAGTGGCTCCCGCTTTACCTTTCACCTTCACCGAGTGTGACGTTGCCAATACTACCTCCCAAGGACCGGTCCACCTTGGATCACTCCACTTGCGTTTATGGGCCTTAATCCACACCCAGCTTCCTGGCGGTATGACTGGAACCTGCTTCCCTTGGCTGGCGGCTGTCTCTGCGTTCGTCACCTTCGTCTCCTTCCTAGCTACTTCTGCACAGTCATGACCACCCACAGTAGGTGGCAATCCAGATGTCATATTCACACCTTCTGATGTGAAAGAGAGATGGGGCTGGGTCAATATACCAGATATCCCAGCCCCTCTCATAGCTGTCAGAGTGAAAGCTTGTGTGTCTAGATAAGCTACAACACCGTGGTCTGTGTGGACCTTCAAAGGATGACACATTACCAAGTATGCAGTCTTCTGTACCGCTCGAGCTATTGCGGCCAAATGTCTGGTGCAGCCTACTTGTCCTAGTTCTATGGGATCTAATTTAGAACTGTGATAAGCCAAAACCGCTCTCCCCTCCTTCTGTCCAAATGTTCCCCCGTGAATGTGTCTAATGCTGCTTAGTTTTATCTTGGTGATGCTTGGTCATTGCAACCGAATAGCCGCTCTGAATTCAAAATCCTCAAGTTCTGTTACTGTAATATCGTTGGCGTATGTTTGTTTGAACATTCTTATCATATGTGTTTATCAAGTGTCCCAGCAGTTCCCGTTCCTTCTCTAATCTGGAAATTGTGTGTCACATTAGCTCAGTGTTTGTGGATTTCTTCGTTGTATGTGTGTGCCTATACTTCTCCTCCTTGATGTTCCTCTGCTGGAACATCTGTTGTTGCCAGCGGTTTGGTCAGATGACACGTAGCTGTCATCCTAGACGTGTGATCAAGCTTTACGCTCCCTCCTTGGACCTCGAATCACCTCAGTTCCTGTGAGCAGACTGCTCTGCTAACCGGAGGTCCCATTAGGACAAGATTCCCCAATCGGCTGTTGAATAGAGAAGCACAAGCGGTGCAGCTATGTGTGCGTGTGTGTAGGTGTGTCTAGATGTGCGTGTGATGGTGTGTGTGTGTGTGTGTGTGTTTTCCCAATTCATGTTGCTCTTTCTTCTGGTTTACCAAACTCTTCAAGCCAACAAGTTCTACCATCTAGTGTGTGCATATTCAAATATAACTGGAACTCAACATTTCACCCACTTATTTCCCAGTTTTAGCTATTTCTTTTAATGTGGAGTAATTGTATCATCTGTGTGTCTCATCAGTCCTTGTGCCTGTGTATGAGAAGAGCAATGTCATTGCACATTCGTTCCAGGAAGAAAAGTCATGTTCAATCTTCCTGCGTTGGCCATCGTCTGCTGTTATCCCTAAAATGCCACTTGAGTAGCTAAACTCTAACATCGAGTGTTTTCCTAAAAACATTCTAATCAATTTGTGAGTTGTTTCATTGATAGAAAGACTGATTGTTCTTCTTAACACCTTAAATCTATGTCATCTACACATCTCTGTTGTTTAGAATCTTATGATTGTGTTTTACACTGCATGCAATAATGTTCCCAAATCGGCAGATACTCTAGTTATATTCTGTTCTCCCCCAGTCCCTCATGTTGAGGTAGGTGTAAAGGCATCCCTTCACATAGCCTTTGGTGATGCTAATCACCCCAGGCCACCTCCTGGCTTATCCAACAATGTCGTAAAACCCCCACAACGCCGTTTCTACTGGGTGTCGTTGCCGATCTGGACCGTCTCGCATTGGAGTCGCCTGTTCCTACTGAAAAGCAAAACATAGTTATCAATTGCCATGCACATGTATTCGAGGAAAAATGTGTCAGTAAATTTATCATAGTGAAATAATTCCCCCCATACCAACCGTGTGTGATTCTTAAACCTGTTGGGTGACTCTGAGATGAAATACAACCTGTGGATGGATTTTATGGCTCCGACACTTCCCCAGGATTCCTCCTCTTATCAGTTGTTGTTTCAGGGAGGTCTGCTCACTCCCTCCTCGACCATGAGTCGCCATCACCTTTCAACCTCTGCATCTCCTCTGAAATCTATCCTCGTCCCTAATTCACTCCCATCTCAGCATCTGCCTGTTGTTTCTTTTATTGGGAGCTAAACTCCCAACAAAGTCATCATTTGTCCTGACTCCTGATGTTCACGAATGTTGCTTTCTTAGAAGGAGAAATCCCTTCTTTGTTCTTGCTGTTTTGGTTCTGTTCCCTCTTGTTCAAATTCACTTCCTGCAAGTCGCTTTGGATTAGAGCCTCAGCTGAATGAAGAATGTGATGCGTTGACGTAAAGAATGCCTCTGCATATCTTTATCTGCTCCTAGAGTATTTACACACTGTTTTGAAAAATTGCCTTTCTCAAACGGCCTTGTTTCCAATCGATTTGAGGAGCCATTCATATATAGAAATTTGGAATCTTCGACATAACTGATTATTGACCCCCATAGTCAACTCATGAAAAATTAACACCAACATTGCCTTCGTGTCCCCGTTCAATGATCCCTTTGAGTTTTGCTTGTAGGTCTCACCCCCACAGTGTATGACTGTTCCATGTCTTCATCAACTAATTGACCAACCCAGTTCTCTTTGTTCATTCTAACCTCGAAGCAATCTGCTCATTCCAAGTATACACAAAAATGTTACCTCACATTCTCACCCTCACAGTCAATTTCTTCTCCTTTTACCTTCAGCCTGTTTGCTCTGTCATGATGAGTCATCACCTTTGAAAACCTATGCATTACTGCATAACTCCTCAACCTGTTTTTCCCATTTTTGCTTACTTCCCCATTAAAATAAACCATTCGACGGCCTCACTGAAGGCCTCCATCATTATAGTCAATTTGCTGACCTTTGTGACCACTTTCACAAGTGGTCGAGCATTTGCAGTATCAGTCTCTAAAACTTCAATCAATGTATCAGAATGTGAACCTCAAACCCCGGTGATATCAACAAAAGGTTCTCCAAACCCTTCAGGGTCATAAAACAACAATGAAGATTGTGAGTCCCTTGATCCCAAAAAGTATCAGGAGATAATAAATCAACTTGGCATCAGACCCATCTGTTCCAGACCCCCTCCAGTGTTAATCTCCATTGCTCTTCAGCCCAAAAGCAAAGCAGAGGGTGGGAGACGTGTCTGTTACCTGCAAACACAAACTCAGCTCATGCTTAGTTTGATCCAATCCATTCATTCATTACTGATAGATCACCAACCTCTCATGGTTAGCGTATCCAAATGTAAGGGTGTACTACTTTCTGAACATTACAGGATGACCGTCTGTAACAAATTTCCATATTTCGTGTACTGGTGCTATAAATATTCCTTTGATCAGACATTTGCTTCAATCATCAAGATACTGTATCAAGTGTATCGTGCACTATACACTCAATAGCAGCACTCAACAATTTACCGCCCATCTCTGAATTCAGGAAAAAACTCAAAAAACTACAAACATTAATCCAAAAAATTGACAATATATACAACAACTCTCCTAATTCCTTATCACCTTCATTCCTCATTTAAATCTTACACAACCTTGTATCTTAATTTTCAATGACTGATTTCCTCTTTTTAAAATCAATCTTCCCTACGGGTTTAAGTCTAGTTTCAGCTGACACTCTCAGCAGTGTATAATCTCTAGTCTCCTCTACCTGGAATGTGAGTCGTAAACCGTAGAGACTGAGGGTGCTTATCTGAGCTGTTGGAAAGCAGCGGGGGTCGGTGTGTCACCAGTTGGTTGTTTAGGGCTCGTCTGCTTTGTCTCCATCAAAGCAAGTGGCATCTGTTGCTGTGGTCACCACATATGGGGAGGTGGAGGCTGGGGTGTGCCCAACCTCTGGTTCTGCCTGGGCTGCATTTGACGGGAAGACCGTGGAGGAGCTGCACTGAACTGCATGTTCGTTGGACATATTCTTGACCAATGACCCGTCTGTCCGCATAAGTAGCATTCATCTCCTCTTCCCCTATTATTTCCACGTCCTCTGCCTCTGCGCTGAGGTGGTGGTTGCTGGTCAACCATTGAACGGTCTCTGACTGCTGGGGCTGGATATTGGGCCTCTGGAGGAACGGGGTATTGAGGTTGTTCATCTCTCACCGACAGTTGTTTCCTGACTCTCTGTTTTTTCGTTGCTTCTGCATCTGCTGCTGCCAGTTGGATCTTCAGGAGTCGATGTGTCATCGTCCCCAGTTCTTCTTGCCTCCTTGTCTCCGCAGCTCTCTGTATTTTGTAGAAGTGGGTTAGATGGTCTCTCCATGTGCTTTCATCCATGTCGTCCAGTCCCACTACTCCCTCCAACGCTGTTTGAACAGCCTGGGGCAAGCCTTGCTGCACAGTGTGTCGCCAGATTACTGCAGTAGATTTGTTATTGTCGGGTCTTTCTCCTGTGGCCAAATGCCATTCTGTTTCTGCTCTCCTCAGATATTGAGACATGTCTTCACCTTGTTCCATACTCAGACCCATCAGGATGGACATACTTGGCTTTGTAGGCCAGATGTTTCGCATTGTGGCCCAAAATACTCCTCTGACCTTATCAAATGGAGCCTCATTGTCGTCGTTGGTTGTGCCTGTTCTTACTTCCAAGGCGCTTAGATTGACTGTTCCCTCTAGACGGGCTATTAAGGCTCTCATATCTCCAAGACCCACTTATCACCTATTGTGTATTTTTCAAAGAGCAGGATCCATGGGTTAGCTCCTTCTCCCAATGGCGGCAGTGCCTTCTCCAGCGCTTCCATGTCCCGATGACTCCAGGGCACAAACTCGCTCTGACCGTTGGCTTTTCTCAGTAGTGGGCACTGTGGGACAGGGGAGGCTGCAGGTGGCTCATTTCTTATAGGGAGAATATAGTCTGCATAGTGGTTTGGAGCCTTCTTCACCAGGATACAATGTCTATTGTGATGACGTCCTCCATCAGCAACCTCTCCTTCTTTGTCGTTGTTTGGATGGGTCCTCTGCACGTGTATTTTGATAGACAGGAGTCCTGAAGTAATATACAGCTCCTCTGCGGCCTCCTGGTATTCACTTGGTGTTTTACGGCCATGTTCACAGCTACCTGCTTCCTCCTCTCTGGCCCTGCCAAGCAGTTCCTGAGTCGTAAGCGCAGCCATCATGCAACCTGGAATACTCTAAACAACCGCTATGCTGTCCCTTCTGTCCTAGGTGTTACTCTGTCACTAACAGCAGGAAAAACCAAACCAAGTCACCTCCAACAGCTGTCCGAGGAAATGTCAAATCGAACCATCGACCAGAATCGACACAGTAAAACAAATAACCAAATCTAAAAAGTAAGGAGGGCAATTTACAACATCAAATCAGTCCAATAACTGCTGTGTAATTACTAAACTATCTTGTTAGACCACTAAGTTAAATCAACTTAACAGTACCTCTAACCACAAAATCAAATCAATCACGGAACTGTAAAAATTAGTATAATCAATGATCAATGCCAAAGACTATGAGTACAATTAAACAGAGGAAAAAGAGAAAGAATTAATTATATCTCAAATCAAAACTCAATCTTCATTCAAAATTCAAAAGTCTAAAAATTAAACTTCAATAAAGTTAATCTTGATGTCTAAAAATGAATTACTCCAAATTATTAATCAAGGTTACAAAATTAATCAAAGTTATGATGATACAGTCAAACTGCCGGCAATATTAATCAGGAAGTATAGCAGAAGCACTCCCCCACAAATGCCGCCAGAGATTATACCACAATATAAACAATGATCCACCCCCAACCCAGAGACAATGCAATGACAGTCAATCCGGTTTCAGCTAAACATTGGAGATCGAAATCAAACAATTCATAACAGCTTCTCAAAAGCACCACATCAAAATTAAATCAACCTCCAATTTCAATCCAAAATCGATGCAGAACTATAGTACAAACCAAATTCAACGTAACATTACAGCACTTTAATGTTTCAAATAAACGTCAACACCAATCCAGATATCCGTCAAGTTATCTTATCGATCTTAACTCTATCCTATTAAGCAAAGGCAAATGTGCATCAAAGTCAACGTCCGAACACGGCAAGCGAAGAAATTGAACTCCCCCTCTTGTAATTCCCTCTTACACCCACCACATGGCACACTCAGGGGCTTCCCCCTCACGATGTGCACTTACTCCAACCACATGTGGCGCTGTTCAGCCGATAGCTGAAGATCGAACACAGAACTACCAAAGAGGAAGTGCCTCGACGCTTCCGGTCATGGATCGTAAAACGCTGTGTGCCGGCGTAGCAAAGAACAATGGGCTCAAGCTAACTGCTAACCCACAACGTGGTCAAGCTATCAGCACCCCTCAAGCCCCGCTATTTCCCCAGTGGAATTACCAATGAGACCCCGTTAGCCGCTAGCAAGGCAGCCCACGTGGTCCGGGTTGGACTACTCACCAACACCTTAATATGCTACGGTTTTACAACCCGACGCCGGAGATGATCAGTCTCCAGTTCGGATTCTATACATATATATACACTGTTAAACAATCACATACGCGTATTAAAACATAATTTGGAACATCCATACATCAATCAAGCACATGCACCCCGCAACTCCAACACTCACGCACCACGTACTAACACTCACTCACACTCACACCACATGCAGATGTATATACACTATCATTTACACTAAAGCGCATATCCGCCACCCACCCCCTTCTAGACAACCTATATACCTAATTCATAGGATTTCTAGAGGGTGGAAAATGTTAAGCAGATCTTACCAGTCGCCGCTGGATTTCTCCTTTACTATAACCTCCACCAGTCGCCGCTGGATTACCTTAACCAGTCGCCGCTGGATTACCTTTAACCAGTCGCCGCTGGATTACCTTTAACCAGTCGCCGCTGGATTACCTTTAACCATAAACTCAACCAGTCGCCGCTGGATTATAACTTTAACCAGTCGCCGCTGGATTATCGCGTAAACCAATCCCGTAGAGCAAGCTCCCCCCCCCCAATCTATTAAATCCTGCAATACCTAATTGTGAAGGACTTTATGCACAGAGAGGGGAAATGAAGAGAAGAGTCTTCTCTAAAGACGCCGTAATTATTGTGGGAAACCTAGTGGACAACATGCGCATCGTCACACCTCATGCGAACCCCCTAACCAATCCCATACGGGTCTACTTCTATGATTTTATCCTGCTGGTCTTTATGTCTCAGCAGACCAGTTCGCCGCCTGGATTTTCTAACGCTCTAAGTGTGTACCTGAACGCACCAAACGCGCGTGTTTGGAATTTCTAAAAGCCGGCTCCCATTCGCATTCACTTTGCAAAAGTATGTCCCCACTGTTATTCAATATCAGCTTATTATATTCACCCAAGTCATTAATGTACTAGCCTTTAGTCTTTAGCATCTAAGGCCTTGCCTCATGGCCGACTGCCAGCACCACTCTAAATCTTCCTAAACCACCTATCACAGAATTCATGAAAAAGGTTGTTTTACCTTGTTTGTACCCGTGGTACCTGCAGTCAAACCTCTCAGCAACGCCTTCCCCCAACGAGAGCCCCACGTTGGGCGCCAACTGTTAAGGTTTCGGAAGCTCTCGAGGGAGGACTCAATCCTCTGTTCTCGTCCCGGCCGGAAACGAGGACACGAATGAGTCAATTCGTTTAAATTCAAAAATCAAAAGTTATTTAATAACTGAACAACGTAATAGGGATTACAATTACAAAGTGAAATACTAAGCGAACAGTGGAATATTTCGCGAAATAGAGAATCCTCTGAGCAAGTCTGAAGTGACTTATCAACGCGGCTGCAGGAGAAGTTCTAACAGTCTTTTCCCCGCTTTGGTCCTTTGAAAACTCTTGAGGTGTGTCTTCTTTGGTGCATTTGAATGTCATTGGCCTCTTCTCCAAAGGGTCACCTCCTCCATTGTCCTCTTCACGTCGAGGTGTGAAGCTGCAGCTGTAACCTGAAACCTCTCTGTCCTAGCTGTCCCTCAAATTCCAATGCACTCAATGCAGATACAGTGGCTTTATGCCTCAATGAGTGAACCCAACAAAGCATACATCGTTTAAGTCTTCATCTTATAACTAGTACACTTTCATTACAACAACCCATCATTAATGATCACCGTTCATCACATTTCATCATAAGATCTAAGACAGTTCATGTGGTTCAATTCTCAAGACATTTGCCTCAGTCGGCTGCCTTACATGAAGTTGTTCATTTATTACCTGACAGGAGAAAAAACTCCCAAAAACCCTTTTTGGGGATAAAATTGGGAGAAATCCATAAAGAACGGCAATTGGCATCCGTCCCCAGGTTTTAACATCACATCATGACAGAATGTAAATGTGTAGTGTGTTTCTACGTTTTAAAAGACTATAAACTGTGTTTGATTCACATTGTATTCACTTCATCTAACATGTTAATGTAATAACTAATCTAACATCACACAAACTACAATTCTATCACTAAACATCATTACACGCACTACAAATTCTATGACTAGGGGTGCACTCCTGGCTTAAATCCCTAACATAGGACACATCACACAATATGAATAAGCAGCTGCAGTGCAATCCGGTCGCATGTCGTTTGCTGCTTAGCCTTGTACATATCTTAGAGAGATCAGCTTGATACATTTCCCACAAATCCAGCGTAGCGTATAGGCTTGGCCTGGAAACTCAAACTCTTGTTTAACACTCTATCTGGTCTCCAATAAGACTTAGAGAACATGTAGGGATACCATACTGATAGGTGTTTGACGGCAGTAAGTTCAACAGCCAAAGTGTATCTACCAGCAGCTTGTTTGGCAGGTGGCCTACAACTGGTTTATCAGCTCCTTGTTGCTGCAAAACTATTGCTACGGGGCAACAGTAACTATGCAAAAGAACCAAAGCCTTGCAGCAGAGGTTGATGTTTGTTCTCTTCATTCCCACATTGAAAACTATGTTTTAATATCCATTCTATTCATGTTAATTCGTCGTAGAACCAGCGTGACCGAGCTGCAAAAAGGAGCATCCAGTGTTAATTCCTGCAGCGTCCTTGTTAGTTCCTACTTTGTGTAATACAATAACACTAAATCCTTATCACACTCACATCGGGCAGTCTGGCATCAGGCCTGGAACTCCATTAATGTCATAATTTTGGAAGATTGTATTTCTCATTTTTCCCCGGCCAATTGAATTATGATCTACACACACACACATATATATATATATATATATATATATAATTTAATTGGCCGTGTCCAAGGCATTGACATTGTCTGACTTGTGGCTTCGTTAGCAAGCTTCATCAGCACTGCCGATCCTCATCCTGGAAGTCTGAGTGTTTCCCAGCATTCACATTAATGAAGGATTCCTACGGAATATTTGGTATCGATAGTTTGTCCCGGTGGTGTATAACGTTTCCCGCAAGACGCAACGTTAGACGTTTCTCAACTGCAGATTTTGAATATACCAAAAATGTGTTGTATGGATGTTGAGACAGGGCAGCACTTCATATCTTGCTTTGCGGTCATAAATACTGCTGCGGAATATATGTACATCTAATAGAGTTTTACTAAAATGTAACTTTAACCCTATTCAAATAAAAAAATGAGAGATGGAATGAGATGTTGCAATATGAAGCTGATAATAGAGCAACCCCTAGAGGTCGTTGACAGTAATAACACTTTATAAATCCCTCTGCGTGTTTTAAATATAAGAGTATTGTAATTAAATAGACAAATATGACTCCTCCGGTGGGACCAGGTCGAGGACTTAGAGATGAGTCAAGCTTTAACTCACGATCTTTGAGGAGCCTTTTCTCTTTTAACTGGAACACTTTTGAACACTTATAATGACTTTTGCAGTTTCTGCATCTTCTGCCTGTTCTTGATTTGTACGTCAATGGCAAAAGCAATGATCAGAATTCTTTAAAAATAGTGAAGAACAGTTGGTGGTCAGTTCACTTGTTGCGTAAGACGAAGCACATGCGGGCACACTGCTTTCCCTCTTCTAACTCAGCGGTGTATTGTTTTGCTCATTGATTTCCCCTCAACACAGCCTGTTTTGCCCTGTGAACAAATTCAATATTTACTAAACATATGAAATTCTCAAAGTTGAATGAGCTGCAGTTTCTCTCTCGGTGATCAAACTGTTTCAGAATGAGCAACCCTCCGCAGCAGAGTCTGATCTTTACACTTTACTTACACGGATCTCAGTTTAAAAGTCATGTTGCTATTTTGGCTAAACATCTGACCTCTGGCCTTCCTAGCCACCGCATGTCCCACCAGCCCGGCAGAGGTCAGGTTCCATTGGCCGGCCGCGTGTGTCCGTCAGAGCGCCAAGGCCCCTCACAGGCTGAAAGTGAAGGAGGCCTTTCTGCAACTCGCCGCCGCCACCCGGGCTGCTATAAAAAGAACGTGGAATGCCGGCTTGGGCTCACTGTTGGTCGGACATTGTGTTTGTGCACCAGTCGGAAGGGCTGAGGGAACTGAGTCGACCTCAGGAGAACACGCAGTAAACATGGCCGCCGCCCACCGTTTGGTTATTGTCCGCCACGGCGAAAGCGCCTGGAACCAGGAGAACCGCTTCTGCGGCTGGTTCGACGCCGACCTCAGCGAGAAGGGGGTGGAGGAGGCCAAGCGGGGAGCCCTGGCCATCAGGGATGCGGGCCTTAAGTTTGACGTGTGCTACACCTCCGTGCTGAAACGCGCCGTCAAGACCCTGTGGACCATCATGGAGGGAACGGACCAGATGTGGCTCCCCGTGATTCGCACCTGGCGCCTCAACGAGCGTCACTACGGGGGCCTCACCGGCCTCAACAAGGCCGAGACGGCAGAAAAGCACGGCGAGGAGCAGGTGAAGATCTGGCGCCGCTCCTTCGACATCCCGCCTCCACCCATGGAAAAGGATCACCCTTACAACAAAGTAATCAGCGAGGTGAGACAACTGAGACTAAGGCGGTCGGCTAATTTGGAATCCGCAATCTATTAGTAGTTTTTTTCTACTCAGGCACGACCATGTTTGTCTTGTCGGTTTAAGTTTATTTAAGTAAGCTGCCTTTCCACTGCTCTTGCCACCTCCAGTCCCGGCGCTACAAGAATTTGAAGCCTGGTGAGCTCCCCACATGCGAGTCCCTGAAGGACACTATCGCCCGCGCCCTGCCTTTCTGGAACGACGTCATCGCGCCAGAAATCAAGTCGGGGAAGAACGTTATCATCGCTGCCCACGGCAACAGCCTCCGCGGCATCGTCAAGCACTTGGAAGGTGAGTACTGCAGTTTGGAGCAGGTGAAAAGCTTTTTTAAAACATTCCGTCCTTAAAAGCAGAAATGAATGTTGACATTATAAGATCCAACCAAATTGCAAACAAACAAGTTATTTTAGCTTTCTTTGTAAAGGCCAAGCAAAGTGATCACAGACACTTGTCCATGCAAACACACATACGCATAAAAATAGCATGCAGGGACTCCGCTCAGAGACAGGGCAGAGGGTCATGAGCTCGGTTCCCATTACAGTCATGACCTTTACGCATAAAGGTTGTACTCTTTCAAGGAGCAGTCAGACACAGATAAGGGAGTCAGACAGCCACGGGGCCTAAATGCCAGATGGGAATGGTTCGGTAGGTGTGAAGAATGAGAGAAAATGATTTCTTTGATTAGAAGTAACAGATTGCTGTGACTAAAATGACTTAAAATACCCCCAAAAATTGTTAAGAAAACCAGCGAGGCTGATTCATTTCAATATGCAAGACTAAGTCCCTATTCCCTCTCTGTTCTGTGTGCTGATCTGCTCCATCTGCCCGTCTCTGCAGGTATGTCCGACGCAGCCATCATGGAGCTGAACCTGCCCACAGGAATCCCAATTGTGTACGAGCTGGACGCAAACCTCAAGCCCATTAAGCCCATGGCTTTCCTTGGCGATGAGGAAACCGTGAAGAAGGCCATGGAGGCCGTGGCCGCCCAGGGCAAAGCCAAGAAGTAAGCCTGCGCTGGAGACGCCGTGAGGAGGCAGAAAAAGAAAGAAAAGAAACTGTTCCCCCTTCATGCTCCAGCCTGTCTCCCCCCCCGAGCATTTGTCCATCTTTGTAGTCCATTCCAGCCGGGGTAACGCTTTTGGGGACGGCTCATTTTCAGCCAATTAGCCCTGTTTGTTTAAATGTCAGACATGAGCGATGACCTGTCAATCAAAGCAGACAGCCCAGCCTCACAATCACTCAGCCCTTTTGAATTGTGGTCAAGCTCCATGTCAAGACCTCACCACTCTGGCACAGCCAATAAAGAAGTCCTGTTTTTACATATTCCTGGGTCTGTTTGACTTCCCTCCTGATCTTATCGCGTCGCTCGCTCTTTTTTTCTGTCTTCAAATTACATTGTCAACCTTATCGATTACTCCTTTTCAGTTCCCCCTTTGGAAATCAGTGGTTTCAGCAAAGAGCAAAGTTGCTGTGAAATGTTATCTAGGACGTAGGGAGGAGGAGGAGGAGGAGGAGGTGGAGGAGGAGGAGGAGGAGGAGGAGGGGGAGAGAGAATCGCTGTGAGACAAGTCGATGGGTTCGTCCTGGCAGCGTTCCCAGGATGCAGCTCGACTGAGAGTTCTTGCATATCCTCCCTTACGGTCAGAACCCACAGGGCCGAATGATACCTGGAAGCAATCATCCATTGTACAAAAAACTATAGACCGATGATGAATTACAATATAATATATTCTTTAATGGTGACTAGTGCAGGACACAGGACCACTGAATGATGAATGAAAAGGGTGTAAATCAAATGCTATGACAAATGCAGTCACCAGCTTAAACCCAAATTTACTTTTTGGCCCAATGTTGCAGAGCACTCTGCCACCGTCACCAAAGACTGAATGAGTAAATATCCATTGAATGATTTTCAAAACTGCTGACGTGATATATACAGTAAAAGCCATTTAGAACTTACGCGGCTCTTTTGCTTTGTAAAACTTGAACAATTACTGTTGGGTTGTGCGTTCACTTGTTTTTCATCCGTGTGGGTTAACGGTTTATTTTAGACCAAGTATAGTTTCTTTACATCCCACATTCTCATTTTGTTTCCCCATGTAATCAAAGTATTACTTCTCCCTCTTTCACAAAGCACCAGTAAGACACTTTACGCAGTGTAGCGTTCACCTTTATTTTAGCATCGGAACGGCATCAGATGAAGACGTTTCGTTTGGAATATGCAACACGACGACATTGGTTAAACACAGAGGTTAGGCAGGACTGCAGCGAGGAGGGAAGTTGACTGACCCTGGTTCAGTTATATCGGATGTTGTCCTGCCACCTGCTGGCCACTAAGCAGAACACCGGCTGACCGCGAGTGGACTGATGAATAAATCCATCCAGGAGGTTTTGTAAGTCTAAAACTTAGGGTTGAGTTTGCGTAACGATTAAGAGTCTCCAACCATTGTTAAAAAGGTCAACTCAGATATTTCACTTTTGACGGTACACAGCGCTCAGCGACTTGTCACCTTCAAGTTGACACACACACACACACCATTATTTTAACAGTTCAAGTTCAGACAGGCACAGAAACGACAATCCGATGAAAGGCGTGTTCCATCGAGCAGAGACTTGTATGTGGATCAGGAAACGTTTGGTGCAGTCAATGTTCAAACAGGATTCGGGAGTTCAGTCAAAGCTGAAAATCCGAGGCGTTTCGATTGGGCAGCACTTTCACAAGAGGTTTACCTCTTGAAAGGCCTGAAGAAGCTTGGGAGAGAGGATATCTTGTACGGATTCTTCTTGTATGCGATGGCTTCGCAGGTCTGTGCTTTGGACGCGTCAACGTACTCTGCAGCACTCGTCACATTCTTCTCTATATTGTTGATCAAGTCCCCCTGATAGAAGAGCAACATTATTAACACACACATTCCTATAGATTTGTCATGAAATATTTAGCATATTTGTCAATATTTCCAAATAAGCCAGCCATTTTTTACCTGAATCTCCAATAGCACGGCGGTGTCGGCAAATATGTCGTGCAGCTCTCTGATGCTGGACTCGAGGCGGATGATGTCCTGATGCCGAGATTCAATCTCACTCAGAGCTCGGCTCACGATCAGAGCGCCAGAGTTGATCTGCGACAGGAAAAGTACACCAGTTCTTTGTGATAATCGTCCTCCGATTAGCCTCAAATTCAAAAGCTACAGTAGTTTTTAGTGACTATTGCATTACGGCGGAAATTCCACTTACATCAGATATGAAGATGGAAAGATTGTCACGGTGCAGCATCTCCTCCAACTCTTCATCCGTTGTCACTTTATCCACTGAAATGGTATCAATACGGAGTGAGGTGTAGAGTGGTCTCTTCGGCGAAGATACAGGTTAATTTAACATGCGGTTGTATCAAAAACAAGTTTTGTGGTTTCTATTAAGTTTTTTCTTTTTTAATGTTCACCACATGACTGCGACTTTATACCTCTGCTCCTCCCTCCTGCTACAACACGTCTTACTAACAGCAACAATCTAATTGTGAGTAATACATCATTTTACTATACCTACATCGTAGTATCTCTGACTATCTGAGGAGCTGTTACAATAGACACACCCTCACCAACTGTTAACTGGTGCGTGATACAAAGTCCATTTTGAGTGAGGGGGAGGGCAGCACTCGTGTTCACGTGTCATTTCTTTTTTTGGGAACTCACCAATCTCCAGCTGCCTCTGAATCTGCGCTTTGCATTTCTCTCGGAAGGAGATTTGCGCCGTGTGGTGACCCCGGAGGGCTTCAGCAAAGCACCGAGTCAGGTCGGAGTGCTGGGGGGGTGACCCGGTTACATGCAAACATGGAACCGGGTTATTGGTGAATGAAAAATAGAAAATCTTTCTCACAGGGGGTTTGTGCCAGGTGCCTAAAGTTGCAGGTTTATTTGTAACAGGACATAAAAGTGCCTCCAGACCTGGTTCTTCTGAATACGCTGAACTACAGAGGCTCCTTTACGGTCTTCATCCACAGCGAGGTTGTCCTGCATTGCTGGAAGCACACATTCAATGCAATTGAGTGTCGATTTAAAACTGATATTCAAACTCTACCACACTGTTCATGACCCTGCAAGAACAATATGCTGTTTATACAAGCTGTCATAATGCTTCTGTATCGTCGCACAATCAGGGTTTTGTTTATCTGAGACTGGACGGTGTTGCCACTGACGGCCTGCAGAGGGGAGTCCAGCGTCCAGAGTCCAAGTCAAATTTCGTGTCGTGAACAGTGCGGTCGACAATTTGAGGAAGAGGGATGTGCTGCACTTCCTCATTCTCTCCAACTTTAAAGGATAGCGCACAGCACCACGCATCCATCCAATAACTTTGCAGGCAGAAAAACTGCTCAGGTGGCGTTATGTCAGACAAGACAGCGCAAGATACATTTTGCAAAGATTAAGAATCAAAAAACAGCTCCACTTACATTTTAACCGGGCTCGGACCAAGTTGCCGTTCCTCTTGATCTCATTGTTCAGCAGCTCCACTGTGTCTTTTTTTTCTACGAACGAAACGTCATTATTTCGTCATTTAAATGTGGTTCATTTTATGATGCCCTTACTTTAATGTGCACATGGTCAGCCCAAAATGTTTGTGTTCATTACGCATCAATTTGTAATATTCTGCTAATGGCAACTTTGTCAACATCATGTAAATACTCAGAACGATGCAGGTCCATCTCATTTAAAGTGTATTGACCAGAGCATCTGCAGCCACATGTTGAAGAAGTTTTTACTTGTATTCATACTGTCTAGTCTTCTCTTAAAATAACATCATGGTGTAAGAGCATGTCAATTACGCAGCTATATCTACGTAAACTTCAATAAGCCCTAAATATGATCCTTTTTTTTCCATGACTCCTCTATACAAACAGGCTCGGTACGTTAGTCAAAGGCGGTTTTGCCTTTTGTGTGTGTGTGTGTGTTGCTGTGTTTGACTGGTTTTGTGTTAAGAGCCTTGGAGGAAGGGTAGATCCGTAGATCCCTGAGATCTCTGCTTACTCTTGTCTGGGGTGGGAGTGGAGAGGATGGCGGCCTGCAGTCCCTCCACCTTCTCTGCTTGGCCGGAGATGTTGTCAATGAGGCTTCTCACCTCCCCCACCTGCGCAAAACACACACACATCTACGTGGGGCTTCTGGATATGACAAAACAAAACAACCGGTGAAACCAGAGTGCAGTCTACCGTTTTGAAGAACTCCTCCATGTTAAACGTGCTCTCTGCTGAAGCATCTGCCATGTCATCCTGCTGCTGCTGCTCAAAGAGACATTAACCACACTTTAGGATGAAGAATGAAACGGCCACCTGTTGCTCCACATAGTTACTTATATATAAACATATGGATAGATGTATTTAACCATGTGGACGCAATATAACGACGATACTAGTGTAACAGTTAGATGTTAGATCAATAAAAACAGCTTCCTACGCTGCCTACGTAAACAGCAGCCGGACGCAACGTTAACAGCCATTATGAAGTCTTCCGACTCCCCGAACACTGTTGTTGGATACTTTCCTCCTAGCGACAAACAACGGTCGCATATTCTCCACTTCTTGTTTTAGTTTCGGTAACGTTATTCGCGATAAGGCGGAGACCTGAGCTTTTACCTGCAGCGCGTCCTCCGAGCTGCTGAGCGCACCTGAGAAATATACAAAGCGCGCGGGCACGCAGGCGCGTTACCGTACTAAAAAAACACGGCAGGCAAAGGGGCTGAACCCCAGCGGTGCGTTCAGGGACCGGCTGGAAAGTTTAAAAAAAATGGAAACCGCTCTTCGTTGGAGAAGATAGTAAGCTGTTGAGGCGTTGAAAGGTTCAAAGGTCGTTGCACGTGTAACTGTGGAATGCACAGAGACTTAAAATCTCCTCTTGTGCTTAAGGTCACATTTTGATGCAACAGCGTTACCGTCTATGTTTTCATGGTAAACTACAATCCAATGACCTTGGCAAGGACAAATATGAGCATAATTCTATTAGTAATAAATAGGAAAATATGTGGGTTTATTTGTATAACACTAGCTTTAGGATGAGCATTACTGTGTGACAAACATCGGCATGACGTCTATTCTGTTCTATTCTCTGGATTTAGTATTTGTCTTTGACAAATAAATAGATACATTAACAAAACCTAATTGAAATTTCCACGGGTTGTGGGATGTTTTTTTTTTACACCGTCCATTGCATCTTTTCACAACTTTCATGTTCATGTTCTCTGTGTCGGCCTCTGCCTTAAACAGGCCACATGACAACATGCAACAGTGCCAAACCAAACTGCAGGATCAGCCCCGGGTCCCCTTCTGTTCTGTTTACATAATGGTAAGCTTCTAAGTTAACAGTCCTCACCACCCTGCTGTTGCACAGTTTGCACAGGTGCAACTTAATAGCCCCATAGATATCTGCGTCTCATGACAAATTATGTGGACTACATGTAATGTAGAGTTGGTAATGCTTGTTATGTATACATCTTATTTTCTGGAACATAGGGGTAAGCTGACAAATACTGCAGTCACTTACGACTCCCAGATGCCGTTACGGGTTGGATTAGTCAAGAAATTCAACTTTTTTCTTTACATTTCTTACTTTACTTTACATTTCACTAAAAGCTCTGGAAATAGAAGGAAATCCATCACCACTTTACAAATTAAAGCAAGAAGCGGTCACTGTGTGTTTTATTTTGTAGCTTCCTGCCTCTCGTGTCCCTGGATTAACTTCACTTCCTGCTCAGGTGTGAGTGTGATTATCTGTCTCCTGTGTCCAATCACATGCACCTTCCCAGTGCATTTAAACCATGTGTGTCCCTTGTCTATTTCTTACACAATGTTGATGAGTGTTTTTGGTGGTCCCGGTCCCTGTTTGCCCCAAGGCAGAGTGTATTCTACTTTAAATAAAGTATAAATAAAGGTGTTCATGCCAGAGACCCTATCGTCGTCATTTCATTATCAAAAACTCTTTTTCTGACAGTAAAGCCGTAGGGTTCGGGCAAGAGTTTGACAAATGTAAAGGCACCACATTAAATGCCAGAAATGCGACTGTTGTCACTCCCCCGCCACTGACAGCCTTTGCATATCTCCTCAGATCTTGAAGCCGTGACGCCTAAACATTTGAGACTCGGAACGGCTCTGCTGTCAGAACAAGTGGTGCATATTCCTAAAAAAAACAAAGCAGCAATAACACAATGTCGTCTCGCACGCAGAGGAATTTGGCTCTGTGTGGAGGGCTATGAATCTTAACCTCGTGTGAGGAGGGTCATTGTGAGTAATGCAAACGCAGATCTTTACCGCGCTGTGAGATTGCCCTCCACGTAATTGAGGGGTAATATTCCTCTGACGGACAAAAGGAAGGTACTCTTAAAGAAGATTTTCCGAATGGTTGATTAAAAGATTAAACTTAAAAAGACGTTCTATAAGGGAGGCTTTTCATTGCCGGTATTTTCTTAAAATGGCCATGTCAATTGTGGGATGTAAAATGCAGCATGCGCAAATGTTTTTTGGTCCCCCAACATCAGATTAATCAATAAAGCAGCAGGATCAACGTCCCGGTTCTTTAAGACAGAGGGTGCAAAATGAACTGGAAAGACCCGTGACTGAATCCGCAGGCTACAAACCTGTATGAAAATGCCAAAACACATTAAACAACACTGGTATTTTACAAAGATACTTGTTTGTTATGAGACTGGGTGAGCGCGATAAGGGAGTATGGTCTCAATTGCTGCCGCCTGGTGAGAGCGGTGCCGTCTCAACAGACTATGACGACATCCCTGGAAAAGATCTTAATTCAGGCAATGTCCCAAAAAGAGTAAGAAACATGCTGAATACATTTTGGATGCTTTAAACCACTTAACATTCCATATTGTGTAAAGACTGGGGCTAGATTATTGTCGATAATAACCTTAAAAACTAGCTGATTTAAATGTGGCTCAGCTATCCCAGTATGCACGTCTATTGCTCATGATGCAGGTTTTTATGTCTCAGCTCATTCAAACCTCTACGTGCCCTTTAAGACACCAGAAGCCAAAAGGACTAACCACATAGGCGGACTGATGATTCATGCGAAGCGTTTTTGTTTTTGTTGTTTTAAAATTTCTATGACTCATTGTAATTGTATTTGCTCATGGTGTGTATACAATTCATATGTTTTTCAAATGTATCATTGTCACAGGATATTTCATCTGTAGGTTACACATAACAAACTACACCCCGCTGTGTTTTTCAACAAAACGACTAACCCGTTGGATCATTTTAAACTGGATTATGCCTGTACAAAAATGGAGGTGCTACAGGGTGCTCCGTTCCCGGACCAGCAGGTTCAGGAACAGCTTCATCCCTGCGGCTGTCACTCTATTGAACTCTGCCCCCCCCTGAACTCTGAACTCTGTCCCCGCACCCCCCCACACACACATCTCCCTCAGTGACTGTACTTCCACCCTGGCTTGACTGCCACACACCCTCCTCCAGACACTGAACATTTGCACTGTTATTGTATATCCATTTCTTACTGTTCATATTGCACAACTATTTCTTACTGTACATATCTAATTATTCACACTTTACATATGCACATACTCTGCACTTTTTGCTACTTTGCACTTCTGGTTGGATGTTAAACTGCATTTCGTTGCCTCAGTACTTGTACCCTGTGCAATGACAATAAAGTTGAATATAATTTAGTAAAGCTCAAATGTGGATAAGACCCCCCCCCCTCCTCCTTTTTGTATATAACCGGTTGTAGCAGGATTATTCTGAACCGGTTTCCTAGGAGTTGGTCGCATGCTATGACCCTATAAGATATGTCCCTTAACACATTTTCAAACAATGTTCGTCAACTCCATGGTATTCATAAAGTTATCCACGGGCACTAGTTGTTGGTTTAATATATTGATAACCCGGTCAAAACGGAATAAGATGTGCTTCATTGTCCGTGGCAGCGCTGTTCTGAAGGGGACCTCCAATCGCTTATTTCTCGCTTCAATAAGTTCCACGTTCCGAACGAGTATCCGTGGACAAACTTCCGGGTTTACAGCCCGCAATCTGTCTCCTCGCCTTCTGTCGCCCCCCCTCGATGGACCCAGTACGCCCGCCTGCAAGCTTCACGGGGCCAAATCTCTGGCTGGTCTCCAGGCCAAAGCCCAGAGATTCTGGTGTGCAAGTCAGCCACCATTGATAATTGACATATTATACATGCATCATAAATTTATGGTATGAATATTATTACTCTATACATATGCAACACATGAGACAAAATTGAAAATAATTGTATCTAATTTTCAATTGGGCAGATATGATCTATTTCTTTGAGAATCTTCCCACATTGTCTGTTTTAAACTAGCAATGCGCAAAGCTTGAGTATTCCACTCTCTTTGTGCTTGACGATAAGAGGATCACAGCATCTGCCGAGTTGGATAAAGATTCTACCGAGAAATGAATAACCGATTCTTCAGAGACCGACAACGTGGCCTTCTCACATGAGTGACACGAGCAGCCAGATGCTCCCATCTCCACAACAAAGTGCTAGTATTCATGAATAATGTATTGGTTGCTTGTGTGTATTAAACCAAGTAACCAGTTGGCGTGCAGTGTAATACCATCTTCCATCATTTTACCTGGGGCCATAACCAAAGTGAGCCTTGTCTAGACCTCTTTTATGGAAAATCTGATATTTCATTTTCAAAACAAAAGCCAACACTCATTTCTAACTGAAGGCCAGTTACCTCATCTTATTTGAACACAAATCAAGCTTTAGCTATGTGGGTCTACTAGAAAATAGATGGCACTTCTGAACTTTGTATACATCTTCAGGAGAGGTCAAAGAACAACAGACATCAGTGTTTTTTAGACTTCAGAAGGGGCATAAATACATTAATTTATGATGGAAAACCACCTGGCCTCTCAGGGGGGCTTCTATGCCTCTCTTCACACTATAGTTTTATAAATGTATTATTCATTTAGGACAGACCAGGAAACGCATTTTTGGAAACAGCATAATAACCCCTCCGGCATCTCTTGATTTAATTGTACATGAAGTATATCATAATCCTATTTTGCTGCATGTCGTCCTTCTCACCACTAGAGGTAGCTTCAAGATTAGAAATCGGAAAGAGTGATTTGTCTCTTGATACCTAAACTTTGTGGTATTCTATTTAGTTAGAGTTCTAAAGATAATGATGGGCAACAGACACACGTTATATTTTAACAGGCAAAGAAGCACCAAATTAAAAAGTGGTTCACTCGTTGGTTTCTGAGTCAGCAATGGAAATCATATTATTCATGCTGATGCTGTTCAACAACACATTTTACAAGTTTTTTTTACCCTTCATATACAAATGTCTAAGAAGAACACATGCTAAACAAGGGAGCCCCAAAAGGCCACTAAACATGCTGTATTAGATATTATACTGTCCCTGGACAGGCCATACCTGCACTGCGCCACATTGCTAATTCTGCTGTTTTGGTCCTCCAGGCAACAATGCTCCAGTAATTACTAATTAACATTCTGTCTAGTCCAAAAAAAAGCAGATGTACCTGCCAGGTCTCACTGCCAGCTTGTTCAAGCCTCTACATCCAAAACAACATGCTTCTGTAAGAGAACAGGGACGGAATTTAAGATGCAGGCTTGGAGGGACGCCCTTTGCAGAAACAATCTCTGGCACGGAGTCCTTCTGAATAAGTCAGTCAGCAGAGTGGTCGTGTAACATCTGTGAAAGCAAAGATGGGGGAAG